ATTCTGAAGTGAAGACTGTTAAGAAATGCAAATTTTTTCTCTCAATTTTGAATTTCATATATTTCACACATTGACAAGCACAGAACAGTTAAAAAGTTTATGGTCAAAATGAATAGTGAAAAATTTAATACAGCTTAGAAACGAAAAATTTCAACAATGAACAATCAAGGATGAGTATTACAGAAAATATTAACATACACACAATACAAAAGTATTTTCCAGAAGGTATAAAATTTCATGATAAAATTCTTTTTTTAACTCCAAAACTAAGAAGGTAAAGATGTGAACTTACATCACGTTCGAAACATTCACAAACACCACAGTTGCAAACTCCTCGACCTTCACAAATAGCACTTTCATTTGTCCTAAAAACTTTAAAAGATAAAGTCTCAAAATCAATTCTCAGAATTAGAATACTGAAAGATGACAAAACTGCATGATCATACTACACCTGTAACTTTCCAGCACATAAGCTTTCATTCCTTGAAAAGCTGCAGAATAATGTCATAAAAAAACAATAATTGTTACCTTTTACATTTTGCATCCAAAGCAACAGTTGAAAGACCAGGTGCGTCACATTCGCAATGTCTTCCAACATTTGTTCCATGACATATGCAAACACCACATACCAAATCACCTTTCCCATGACATATCGGGGAATTGTACACAACTCTCTATAAAATTACTGCATCATTCAGGACCAATTAAATCACAAGGACAGAGAACGGTGCATAGCAATTATTCGTGATAAATCTCTTATTATTTATGTATGATGCACATAACATGTAGTAAATTTCTGCCTATGAGTCGATTGCATTCATATCCAAGTAACATTTTTTATAGATCTAAGTAACATTTTGACAGATTTTGTCAAAATTTAAGAATAATTTGACAAATGTTGACAAAATTTAAATAAAAGAAATTCAAGAACTTTGACAGTAAAGAAATACTCACATCGGTTTCACAATCGCAGTCACATTGTACATGAACATCAACTTGAAGAGTCTCATCAAGACCACTTGGTCCAATCTTTAAATTAAAATCACGTTCTTTCACGCAGTGCGTTGCTTCTAGGGTAACTTCGAACGAAACTTCATCACCAACTTTGATTCCATCACAAACATTTGTTTCCTTAAGAGTATGCCCACTGGAAATAAACCACAGTCCAAGAATTTCTTTTCAGGTTTGCAAAAAGGTAAAAATAATAGTAGAATTGGTGAATTTTGTTGAGAAATTTTGAAAAGACTAGTTTTGAAATAAAAATGTAGAAAATGAAAGTAACGGAAAACTTACTCCAAACATCTCGAACGATATGATAATCTCAATCCTTGGCTTGCATTAGCGTTATCAACCATAATGATTTTTTGGGAAATTTTATTGTATTCCTCTTCGATAAGAGAAACGATGTTTCTAGAATCATCGGCCAGTACACCAACCGAACTGCTTACATCAGGTAAAGCATCACTGAGCTTAAATTATAATAAAGAGGGTGAATAACTATTAAAGATTAATGATTTCAAGAACTGAGAACAAAAAAAGTTATAAAATATCGCGACGAGGTGAAACTACATAAAACATGATATAATAGCGATTATTTATAGGATGCTTACATAAGCACTCATCACACGGCTCCATTAAATCCGAAAAATGGTGAGCTCGAATAGTCAGATGTAACCAGTTTAAATCAAGCCGTGAAACCACATTATATCACGTTATGTATTAATAAATAAATCCCAAAAGTTTTTTTTTTTTTTTTTTTTTTTAAATCAACTGGAAATTTTACTCACCTGCTTGTAAAGATCTTTATTTTTCTCAGTAACGGCAAAAATTAAATTCGCCTTTCTTTCTTTGATTTTCTGATGTAACAAAGCAACAGAGGGGTAATCCTGATCAAGTGATTTCGTGTAGTATCCTTGGCTGTCCAAATGACATTGTCCATCATTCGGTACTACAACACCGGCCATCTAAACCAATTAAATTGTTCAAGTATGAAAGTTTGAAACACTTCGAAAAAACCTTGTATACCTTTCAACAACTTCGAAACTTCAATAGGAACCCATGAAATGGCAGTAGAATCAGCAAGCTTCTTAAGATGAAACTAATGTATGTATATAATAAATATATGGAAAAAATACCCGTCCATCCCCTGCGTAATGAAAACCAGCATCTGTAGAGAATACGATCATTTTTCGAGCACGTTCACGCCAACCAATACTATTCTGAAATTTAAAAGATTGAATAAGACTAATTAATATCCAACAATTCAAATTTTATACATACAATCTTCGATTATTCTGCTTAATTGGAATGAGTTGCACTTCTATGTAGTGCATTATAATAACACGTACTATAGCCGCATAAAATATTTAATTCTTTATATACAATGCATATTATTCATTATCCTCAAATATCACATTGTAATAAAGTAAGAGATAAGTTAACCTAGCAAAATACCCTAAAACATATCAATCTATAAACTATAATTGATTCGTTGATTATTTTGTCAGTTTTATTTTGACTAATAAAAATAAGAAATAATAAGGAATAAAAAAAAAAGTCTACTTACATTACAAGTTAAAGCCTGCAAAACAGCGTCAAAGCCACCTTCTGGAGCATCTAGATTTCCCGATATTTCAGCTTCCTCGACTTCTTTCTAAAAAAAAAAAAAAAAAAAAATGATGCAGCATAATAAACTTTTTCAACAGTTTAAAAAAAAATTTTTAAGGTTACTTTGTTGTATTTAAAAACAGAGTGTAACAAACTGGTAGCGAGAAAAACGTGAGGAAATCACCACAAATTACTAATAATGACTTAATAAAAATCAAGAATGATGAAAAATCGAGTTCTTATTTAGTTAATAACTTATGAATACTGGAAAAAGAAATTGTCCGCATGTTAAACTTTTAAGTAAAAACAAATGTTATGAATAATTTACTGAAAATCTATTTGTATCCATCGTAAGACTCATTTGATTTTTGAAACCATATGGTTGCGCACATTGCTCTGGACACGGTGATAACTGTCTGAAATGCAAATTATGCTAAAGGACAGAAATGGAAATTTAAAAATGTTAATTAGAAATCTTGATAAAAAATAGATACGGAATTTATTAATAAATATAACTTATCCGCAATGACCTTTTCAAAGAAAATAACGCAACACAACGCATGGGTTATCATTTTTTTATGTTATCATTTTTAAACTTACTTTTCAGGACGAGGATCTACAAATGGCATAAGTTTCTTGTCAATAAAAGAACCGAATCCAAGCCTAAAGTTCTTGGTGATTGCTTTCATTCGTTCAGCTGAAAAAGAAAAAACAGGTCATTACCAGAAACCGATTATTCCGTCATAAATGAAGCCAAAGATTTATTCTGAAATATGTCTGGAAAATATTTTACCTAACAAATCGCCCAATTCAGACAACTTTTGTTTATCATCTTTCATAGAATAAGATAGATCCATCAAATAATATAAGTCAACTGGATAATCCACAGCTTGTCGATAGGTTACTTGAAATCGAACACGTGCCTCTGAAAACTTATGTGTAATCAAAAATGTTTCTAAAAAATTAATGAAGTCAAGGAATACAGCACCATTTGCAAAAAAAAAAAAAAAAAAAAAAAAAAAGAAGAAAAACAAAAGTTGACGCATATGAAAGCCTTCAAAGAGTTTTTTTCAGTAGAAGCTACAGTTCGCTTACCACAAGAAATTAAAATTTTAATAGCACAAATTGAAACGTCAAAAAGTTCATCAGAAAAATAAAGCAATTTACTGGGTCGTATATTGACAACCATATGCTGTGGCCGTAACTGAACTGCTTCTTCTTCACTTGCTGCATCACCGGCATTACTCAATTCAACATTCTATAATAAAATAAAAACTTCAATATATATAATACTATTCACATGTCTTTTTCTTTTTAGTTGCTTATTTTAAGCTGTAAACTTCAATATGTAAAAATGCATGAAAAATGCAAGAGTGAAACATTTATAGACGATATACTTATATAAACCATAGTCCAGTTTTTGCTTTTATTATCCGCCTTAAGATATCTCTAATTATTCAAAAATAACGCCAATAACGGTTGAAGATCCCTGCTAATTAAACAAACCTCTGTTGTTCTCACTGTTGTTTTAGGATTTTCAATTTCAAATTCTGGACAACCATGTTCAATAAGCCTCTCTAAACTATCACATCGCGGATGTTGATTTTCGTTGTCGAAATCCTAGGAAAAAAAAAATTTGACATTTTTGTTCGTTTCAGAAAAAAAAAGCCATCATAATTTACATAAATTTTATTCAAGGTTAAATTTAACTCACAATGATATATTAAAATATGCAATACAGCATGCTTCAATTGATTATTAATATAATAAACCAAAACATACTGCTTTACTACACCAGGCGCACGTATCGTGGAACTGAATGCATGCACTACATGTGTAATTTTCACGAGGTAAAGAATAACACGGGAAATCTTTCTTTGATTCAACTATTTCTGATGTTGCTGCAATAGAAAACTATTATATGCATATTTAATTCATTATATTTAATACCAATTCAATTCAATGGTAATAATTACAGTTTAAATTATTGAATAACTTAACATTTATGCGAGCTATTGAAGTTAATAGATAACATTAGCGTGTTTTGGATAGGTCACGTGAAAAATAATTTATGACTTTAATTTGATGAACAGATGAATATTATGATTTTTTTACACAACAAATTATTCACAAATTGAAACTTCCAAAAATATCTTTTTTTCCTTTTTTTTTAATGTATAAAAAATTCATGGATTCAAGTCATTCCTAGAATCCAGTAAGTTTTTAAGTGACAATTTTCCGGAATAATCAAATCATTTTGAAGATAAGAGAAAATAGTGCATAAATACCATCATCAGTAGTAAATTCTTGTGCCCCAACAATGAAAATCGTTGTTGAGAGGCATATCATGCGACACCATCCAAGCCTCGTCAACCAACGATCTCTCATAGCGATTAAACAGCGCTAACTGCAATAAGTAATTGAGATAAAAATCAATAAATCATTATTAAGGAAGTGGAATGTCGCTATTTCATGAAATGTGAAGAACGCAATTTGTTCTGATAAAGTATATTCGAAACAAATTTCAGCAGTAAGTCAAAATGTTAACAAAAATTCATATTTTAATGAAGCATTCTGCCAAAGTAAATTTATGTTTTGCACAAAGTAAATTCTTAGCAAAAAGTTAGAGAATTTTGAAAAAAAACTTATGCTTTGCACACTTGATTATGAATAAAAAATAAATATATTTTGTGTTCAATAAAATGTTAAGAACAAAATAAAATATTCTGTTTTCATTTTATACATCGTTTCAAGTAATTTCACGTTGAATTTATTCAGAATAACCATGTCTTCTTACTAAATTCAAATTTAGCATTTAACAATTTCATTTCAGAAATTATGAATTTATGTGATTCAATCATATCATTGTATCTCTTTGAATCAGATATCAGTATTACGATGAAAGGGATCACTGTTAGTGAAAGGAATTATCCTGATAATGACCGGAGTGATAAAGAGTGAATTCCAGGCTTATAATTCATTGATAAAATTCACTGATAAGCTAATAAATGGATCATATTTCATAAAAAATAGAGTCAATCATTTAAATTAAACTTTTAGTACAAATAATTTAAGCATTTATTGGACGTATTATTACTGATGCAAATTCTTTAAAAGTCGATCATATTTCATAAAAAGATAGAATCAATCAAGTAATAAAAATTAAAATTATTTAAAATGAATGCGAACTGATTAGTTTTGGATTAAACCGTTTAAAGAAGTTACGATGACCGCAAAAACCATCAGAAAAACCGATACTGGAAGGAAAAGTAGCATCGTTAGAACTGGTCGATTAAGCATATTTTATCCAATGACTTCAAAATAAAAATTTTGTTGGTAGATAAAAAAGTATTCTGAAATTTTGGAGGAACCTTAGCATTTTTAATTTTAAAATTTAATAAAGCATTTAAAAAAAAAAAATCGGATAAATTGATACAAGCAGTGTAATTGATCGAAAATAAATCATCATACTTTCAGTCTCCTTTTCCTGATATGAAAAGGAATGCAAGATGAGAGTTCCGGATTAAGTAATACGGAGTAATACAGAACAGGAGAGAAAGACAAAATTCATCATAATGATAATTATATCGGAAGTCATTCTATTTTTACATTTGATCAAGTTAGAAGATCACATGATTTACACCCGTTTGTTAGCCTTTAACCGGATCCGTAACTGAAGCACAAAAATTTGAACATTCCTAGTGACGCATTACAAAATTCTGTTCCTAAAGCTAATCACAAATTACAGTTTTGATGAAATGAGTCATCATAACCTAGCTTTAAACGATTTATGACTATACCAATGTCTGATATATAAATATCATTCCATCAAATTTATAGCCATTACAGATAGCAAAACCTTTTCCCATATGATAAATTTATTTTTCATCATCTGTTTTTCTAGATTTAAACAATTTTACATAGCAATTTTAATATTTTGAATTAAAGGCTAACATAATAAATGCTTCAATGAAATAATATTTGAAATAATACAGTAGAGTCAAAGGTTAATCTTTTGAAGAATTAAGAATTGCTATTACAGCAACAAAAAGGAAAATAAGTAAAAAATGTAAGTGAGAAGAAAGTGAGACAGTTGCTCTTCAATTCTTAAGGCTCTTCAATTAGAGCAATCACTAACCACTGCAAGAAGTAATCGTTGTGTATGGCTCTGTCTGTGTGTGTGTGTGTGTGTGTGTATGTGTGTGGGTGTGTGTGGGGAGTGTGTGTCTGTCTGTCGACCTATCATCATTTTACTCATCTGTTCTTGTCTCCATCGGAAACTGAAACTAATGGACGAGGAGGTCGGATCTATTCTGGATGATAAGGTGAGTGGTAGATGAAATGCTGCTATAGCTACTCCTCCACTTTCTTGTTACCTCTGGTAGCATAGTGTGTGTACCCTGCCCGCATAAATATGTAGTCTGCAATGTCACTAATCAAAAATTACAACAAGAAAAAGCAAATAAATTGTATTGTATGGTATCATCAAGGTACCACACCACAAAAGTACCTGACAAATGATATACATAACAGATTAATACAAGAGAATATAAGGGAGAGAGATGCATCGTAGTATGTGATAGCCTAGAGATAGTATAACTGTTGATTTGTATATACATCATTGTGTTGTAATTCGATCAATGGATTTAACTAACTGGTTGGTCCATCTTTGGTCATCTTCTCCTACCAATGACAGCACAACAATGACCTTTTTAATACAGCTAACACTCTCCAAAATTTATCAGAAATTATCACTTCCGAATTTGTTATCAATAATAATGCTACAACTTATATTTTTATCTCTTTGCCATACCAAAGATAATTTATATTTATGTTATAATTAGTCAATTATGGGATGCAAAAATTGTAACAGAAGCAATAATATTGTATGAATGTATCACAAAAAATTCATTGCATATTATGTATAATCAATTCTTTAATCATACTGATAGCTGAAGGAATAAAATGATCATTTCTGCTTATTCGATTAAAATTATAATGAAATGGGAAAAACTTTTCGATATATACATATTTTGCAAAGAAAAAAAAGAAACAGTACATATTATTATACGTAAATACCTTTCAGAAAATAATAATTCTTGAAATCAATTTTCAAATTTGGACAAGTATCCCATGTATGAAATGATCAGATGGAATCGGTGGTCCTATATGATCTAGATGATTTCGATTGTTCCATTAGTATTGATTGACTACCACAACTTTTGAATGAAATTTCAAGGATTTCAAAATAAAAAAGAAAAAAAAAACTGATAAGATCGTGAGGAAATCAGAGTTCAGAATGAATTATCAACATCGACAGAACATACAAGTAGAATTCTAAAGATTCTGATAATCAACTAACGCTAGACTCCTTTATTGATGAAGCTGACAACAACAATATAAAATCAATATATAACTAGATAAGTCGTCAATCAATGAAGACATAGATAAATTCTCCATAAGTGGAAAAATCAAAAAATTGAAAAACAATTGCATTTACCATATATACAGGTGAAATGACAACTTTCATCCGATTTCACTAAACAACGATCTGTATGAATATTAAAAAGGCAATAGCTTATTGATAGATGAGGCAGATGAACTGCATTTTATGCAGATTAAAATTGGAAAATTTCTTTTTACATAGTAAGACAAATACAATGGAAGTGTAAATGGAAATAACTGAGATCAGCTTGTGAAAAGCATTTTCAGCAAGAAATTTTTAATTTTACAAAAAACGAAACTAGTATTACAATTTCATGAAAAAATAACGGTTATATAAAAGTTTACACGGAAAATCATCTCAATTAAATAGCAGTGATGATAAGTCTGTGAGTACGAGCACAGTCAAGAGTTAAATATGAAGTAGTGATTACAGTCACAATTTTTAAAGGGCAGGTGGGACATGGAAGCCTTTATGAAATATCTGTGTGAGATGGCTGCATTCCACTTGTGGTATTAGCAACTGAAGGTGTGCCTCCACTACCGCTTGGTGGTTGCGATGTTACATAGCGTTGTTGAACACTGGCCTGATTTGAAAGAGTTATTGGCGGTAGGTACTGTGTTTGCTGAGCTGGAATGCTCGCAGAATGATCTGAAATATTCAAAATTTATAATAGACAGACCGGAAGTGTAGAAAAAATATGGTACATCGTATTCAAACAGTAATTCAGATAGAGCAATATATATCACGTTTGAAATATTAGGCCATTAGTCGCTAATTAACTTCACTTTCAACTTCAATGAAGGTGGAAATGTGGATTCAAGAGCACCTTGTAACATAGTGGGAGTCGAATTGCTGATACCTTGTACCGCGACGGTTACCTGTCTGGTATTTGACGGAGCACTCGAAATTGTTTGTCGCGAAATACCACCTAAACAAATTTTATACGATAATAATAAAAGAGATCTTATAAAAATGACATTTTGCCCCTCTTACGCCCACTTCAGTTTATAATCCAAATAGTTTCCTAAAACCCAATCTAAAAATTGAATATGCTTTAGGAACAAGCGCCGAATCAATACAAAAGATAAAACATAAGTAAAATCACCTCAATTAAATAGCAGTGATGGTTAAAGACCCAGAAAATAAGCAAAATAATAAAAACCAAGAAGGTCAAACATAAAAGTTAAGTTCTGTAAAATTGCTACGGAATTGATTTTGAACGACATTCGTTATGAAAACCAATGTTTAACTGTATTTAGTCATCAACATCAGGATCCAAAATAGTGCATATTCACCTGCAGATGATAACTGCTTGGTTGTTGCAGAAGCAGTGACATTTTCACTGTTTCTCGAACTGCCACTCATAACTAGTCCAATTGATGGAACACGAGAGTTTTGATAACCAATATTGCGTCTTTAATCAGTAATGGTTAAATCTTGCTGAGGACAATTAAAAAATGCTTGAAACATAAATAACTTAGTATCAAACGTGAGATAAAGTTTAAGGCATCCACTACCATTGGCCATCATAATTTAGTAATATACAGCAAAAAAACTTCGAGAACTCGGTGAAAATTTGACAGTAAACTTACGGTATTGTTCGTATCTGTTGTACAGGACTTCCACGTGGCAACATCATAGCAACCTGCAGAATCAAATATAATTCTTAATTTCATAGTTTTACCTCAGCACATTTGGTTTTCAACATAGTTGACAGGTTTTGTTAAATTTAAGGATGCTAATCACATAGCAACAAATTCTAAAAATATTGATGAGTGTTCATCTAAATTTCAAAAATTTAAACAGATCACCTGTGGTTGACCACCAATTGTTTTCGCATGTATTGCACCTGCAGTACGTTTTTGTGTAATTCGTTGTCCACTAGGCATCATTCGCACTTGTGATTGCGGCATCAGGTAAGTTCTATCGCCAGCAGCTGTTGTGACATATAAACGACCCTGTTATAAAAAAATTTATTGTTAGATCACAGTTACGTAAATAATTCCTGACATAAAATCCCTACACATTCAGGAAAATCCCAAAGTGCATGATAAGAAAAAAATAAAAAATAGCTTCAAGTTTTAATATATATATATACTATATACTATATACTAAACAGCCAGATCAAATACAGATGAGAAAAAATATTTAGTAAAATCATAAAAATTATTTCAGCATGCTTTTGAGAAAGTAAGCAAGGAAGTTCATGCAAAAAGAAACGATTGCAAGAGAAAATAAAAGATAACCGGTGTTCGCTGATTTATTTTAGTCCGAGCATCTTGTCGCACAGACATCCCACCAGTTTGGATTTGTGGTCGAATCATTTGTATTTGACCCGTTTCGCTTAGTTGTGAACCATCTCCTTGCGACATAATCAGCGTTCGTCCAGCATGTGATGTGGTTGCATATATCTGCTGTTGTGCTTCCGGAGATGTTCCGTATCCGGTCGCAATCTGGAACATTTTTTGCTGAAAAAAAAAAAAGATTTTTAAAGGAAAACAGTAGATAAATCATATATTAATTCAATATTTTTTCAAACAATGCCTAAAAAATTATCAAAACAATAGTATATCACTTTCACCAACCACTTCCAAAATTTTTCTCATGATAGAATGCAAAGTTAATGATATAAGCATTTTGACAAAGATCAGAATATAGTTAACCCTTTGTGCAGTAGGTGCAGAGAGCCCTTTTTTTGTTCCAGTTGATGGTATTGTTCGATAAATAGTCTGTCGCTCAGCCACACCTTCTTGCCGCGTTGTGTACTGGAAACGACTACCAAGTTGTTGTCCAGACAGCTATAAATCAGAGCAAAACTATATTTCTATAACGGAATTTTATTAATAAAAAATACAAACTACAAAAAAGTAACGCCACTGTCCACAAAAAAAATGTTTTCTTACAGTGTCTTGAGAATTAACAACAACAGCATATGGTTGCTGGCCACCAGATGATCCCATCTGTGCACCTCCTGTCATAATAATTTGATGCTGAGTTGAAGTTCCTGAACCAACCGAAATCGCGACACGCCGAGTACTGATCTGGTGAGCACCAGGTGCAGCACCGGATACAGCCTGGAATTTCGGAAACTGAAAATTTGAATTTCTTATAGTATTAAAAAATAAAACAAAAGCTAATTGGAAAACAAAATTATAAACTCCTTTCTTTTTTGACACAGAATATTACTACAACGGTTCCTCGGTTTACAAAATGAAATATGAAAACTTATCATACCCAATACAAATTTAAGTTTATTCAGCATAACAGAGAGAGATGAATATTAGAAAGTTGCTCTATTCCCTATTTCACGCCATATTTGAAATCAAGTTCTGCAGTTCAATGAAAATAACATCCATATTTAAATCTTTGGATATGCAATTTAATTCAATTAAGCAAACACTAACAATCCATAAACCATACAAACATTCAAATTCAGAAATCACTCACCACTTGTGGGTGATCAACATAAGTTCGTTGACTAACAATTACTTGGGGAGCATCACCTGCATATGTTGTACTTTGTCCAGATATATTGCTTACAAGTTGACCTTGAACGCAACTACCAGAAGCTGCAAAACAGTCAAGAAAATTATTATGATAAAACGAATGAAGCATAAAAAGGAAAATAACGAAACTGCTTTTTATAAATATTAAGTATTTATGACCAAAACAAAATGTTCTGCATGCATCAAATTATGAATGCATTTAAAATACAACATAATATAAATCTTTGAATAAATGGAAAAAGAACTAAAAAGAATTGTTCACTAACTATATGTTCTCACAGTCGAAACAGCAGGGGTAGTCATCACTGGTGCTGAAGCTGCAGAAAGTTGTTGCTGTGCATGTTCCATAACAGCTCCATAACTTACTTTCTGATAATGTATAATACCAGGGATTGCAGTAACTGCCGATTCTTTACGAATTAATTTCTGCTCATGACTTCGTTGTTGTTCGATAACCTAAATTATTATTAAAATGCTCCAATTTTACCTACTATCTATACCTTTTAAAGACCTTTTTCTACTGCAGCATAACTGAAATTCAGTAGAATACCATACCATGTCAAACTCACATATTCCAAAATTAGAACTGATATAATCTTAGTCATAAAAATAAGACTGCTCGGCTACCGTGATGGTCAGATCATCAATTGTCAACTGAACCATCTGGCATTCTTGAAGCACTGCAACTCTACTTCCTAATACAGACAAGGACCTTATATCTGCTACTCCGTCTTCATTAAAGTATTAGGATTCTCACAAATAACCTTAACAAACCAACCATAGCTTCCTTCTTTTGCTCCTCCTCTTCTTTCAAACGCGAACGTTCACGATCCTGCTCACGTAACTTCTCCCGTCGTTCATTACGATAATCAACTACTTCAGAACAAGTTGTTGTAGCATCGTAACGTATTCCCAGCTCAGCAAATTTCAATTCTTGGGACTGCGTAGGACACCATTTTTCCATATCATCGTCAGCTACAGTAAGTATTCCAATGAATTACGACAAAATAAATTATTTCCGTAAAGTCTCAAAATACATGATACTTATATCGCAAGATATGTAGAGATGAGATTGTTCTGAATGCATTATTTTTTTGTGCAGACTTCACATTTTGGCAAAATTAAAATGAAATATTTTAGATGTCTTGGTAAGAATTATTTAAAAAATGTTACTCGTTTTAGGATAGAATAAAACAGTTTGCTTTAGTGATGCTGCTCTCAGCGCTTTAGCTTTTTTATCGTATTGATTTGACATGAGCTTAAGAATGTCGGCTAAGTACTGCTGATCGGTTTTGGTACGCCCACGCTTCATGTGAACTGCAAATTGGCATATATGCGATACATATATGGCTATAATAAAACTACTTCTGTTTCATGCTTAACTATTTGATTATTATTTGCACTGAAACCCTTTCAATCAAAAACTTTTTAAAAACTGTAGGTCAACAAAGAAGCTTTAGTCGTTTTTAACGACCCAAATTTCCCTACAGCAGAAATTACGATTCAAACTCGGTTCGGATGCTAGTTTAACAATAACATAAAACATACTACTTGTGCAACTTACTCATTTCTCCGGTTGATAGGGGAACTCTCCGTGTTTTTTTCGTTATTGGATCCAATGTAACCATACGTCCTTCTTCACGTGGTTGTACAACCATTTGGTAATGTAATGAGCACTGTCGCGGTGAACTTAACAGATTTTTAATAAAGAGAATATTTTTTTTAAAAAAAAAGGAAAAAACAATTAGCAATATCAGTGGGACTAAATAAAAATGAAAGTTACTTAATAATCTCAATTCAAAGTGTTCCTTAGTCTTTGTTTGTTAGGATGCAGCTTTCATTTTCTTGGATCGCTACTTGCATTCACATTATGAATGTCACGACATATCATAAGAGTTAAATTAACGACAGAAATGATCAATAAACAATCTAAAGCTCTTCAAATCAACAATAAAAGTGAGGAAAAACCACAAAGGATAATTATGCAAAGATGCCAAAACTTACCGATAAATTTCGGATGATGTGCCTAACAAAACCGATACCATGTCCCAGTTTGCATATTGCCCAATTTTCGATGAATGTAAATGATTTGGTAATCGCTGCAATTCAGTTAAAACCTGAAAAGAACAGCATACATAAGTTAATAATTCAAGTTTCTCTCTAAACAAGAAACAGAAATCTAAATTTAAAAAACGCAACCAAATTTAAATAACAACCATGAGCGCTTCATAGTCTTCTGCAATACTCCATTCTGTTCCATCATAATCGATTGCTTCGCGATATCGTGGAGGTGGTGTGAAAGGACGTCGTAATTCAGTTTTTCCAGAACGACTATCAAGCAAGCTGGGACGACCGCTAAATGAAGAAATGATTCAAATACCAATGAAATATATACATATCTCCCCAACCACAAAAGAAAGAATAAATTTAATAATGATTTAAGCTTTTCTAAAAGATATGCTTTTTCCTAGATTATTTACATCAACTTCTATAATTTACTTTTCTCTCTACCTGAAGTGAAAACATATCGTCTAAAGCTGTCTCCAGCCAAATCTTAAGTTTCAAAGACACTACGTAGTCTGCGCTAAAATTCGAAATCGAAATTCTACCTTCCAGGTTGAGATCTCTGTGTTCCTTGAGCAGATAATGCTTTTTGTGCTGATTTTCGCACGCTATCAATTGCATCTAAATAAATCACACACTTACACTTATAGAAACACAACTATCCCAAAATTTCGTGAAGTCCGACAAGTGAAGAATTTCATCAACAAAAAATAAATTTTTAAAAAACCAGTTTTGATTAAAATTAAAAAGTCGAAATAAAGATTTGAATTTATCTAACGTATAATATACCATCAACAGAACCAGGCAAACATGAAGGTGTAGTAGGTCTTAATAGATTTGATGTATCAAGGTAAGCAGCACCAGATGATACACCCGTTTGAGGCATTAAATTGATACCACGTTCATGCGAAATTGATGATAGCGATGCGGTAGGAGATGATACGATATCACGGACTATACCACTAGCCACTGCAATTTATTTTATGAAAAAATTCGATTTTCTAGTCGCATAAACTCATTTGACATTCACATAAGTGAGAGTTGTCCTAAGTAAATTTTTGTCTATTTCTTCAAGAATTTAAATCAAGTAAATAAAAAAGAAACTAACCAGTACACATGCCAGTTGGTGATGGAGGTAGTGCAACAATTGGAGGTATTGCAACATTTGTTGACATTGAACCAGGTGTCACTTGATATGTTGCCGATGATGGGACTATAATTTCAGGTACAAATTGTTCCGGGACGAGTGATGAAGTTGGTGTAAGTGGACGAGGACGATGAAGTTCATGAATTGTAGTTGGTAAGCGACACTCAGCCATGGGTAATTGCTCAAACCAATATTCACCAGTTGAATCATAGTAAATATCATCACCACTATCAGAGGGTGGAGGTGACGGTGGTAGCCAGGTCTGAAAAGAAATTTATGCAATTTTTTTGTATTTCCAAATTCACCATGTTCGTTCCAGCGAATCATGAACAAACCATGATTTTATATTTTTTCATAAACGAATAGCAAAATCCTTATAGCAAAATCCTTAAATAATTTGGAAGGAATGAAACAAGCGCAAAAAGATCAACAATGAAATAACAAACCAGCATCTCTTCGCCAGGTATATCCAGGCAAATTACCTGAAACCAAGTTCAGTGATTCAAATTTAAATTGAAATTGCAATATAATGTAAAATCATACATCATTTGTTGTTTCCGATGTTGTTACTTCAATTCTGGACTTAATTACATCAAAAAAATTGAAATATAAATTCACAATTTCAATAGTTTTGGTTCATCAAGCATCTCTTTTCAGAAACAGAAAGTTATTCAAATCGCAGATAGTTACAGCTACTCAAATTAGAAATTAAATGGTTTAACACAGATGATATAAGCTCTTTTGCTGAAGAGTCTGAATATGATTCCTTCTGCCTTCAGTTTCGTCATTACAAAAAATTGTATGATCGAAGAACCTAATCATTTGCAACATTATTTCTGTGTATTGCAAGTGAATTCATACCATCTTTCTATATTTTTGAAATATCTTGTAAGTTCTGATGATCACATCAAACTGGCTCTTCATTTTGGTTGCAATCTATCAAGCTCGGTAAGTCTCAAAAACACAATTCATACTCAAAAGCATGTAGCGAGAGGGCTTTTTACTCTGCTCAAACCTACTAAGTTGAAAAACGATTTATTAGTGCACCCCCTCTTATAACGCAAGCTTTTCTCTTTTCAGAAACAATATATCTAATATAATTTGGTAATTTTATTTCCCTAACTAATCTTTCCAAGGTATAAATTTCCATATGTTTGAAATGTTCGAGAGAAACGGGGAAATTTTTAAACCTTCTTTCTAAATGTCACATCAAAATTTATGTCACTCATAGATCATTTCGTTGTGGCTATTGTGAAACCTTGCTCTTTCTTTCAATTTTTCGACAACACACTTGAGAAGCCACTTGCATGGTTTTTTATAACCCTCCTTCTTTTCAAACTTCATGTCACCATAGCAAACACTAGACAGGGTACAAGCCACTGAAGATTAAGTTCCAGAAAATTTTAAGCTTATTAAAAAGGCCTCACAAGCGTGGAACATGTGAAAAAAATTGTCCTTAATCAGAGCAAGGCCTCACATGTGTGTAGTCGAAAATGTAAACACAAAAAATTGTTTCCAAATCTTTTTTTTCTTAAATACTCAACAAGAAGAAAAATCAAACACGTGGAAAAAGAACAAAAGCTTTAAAATATAGCAAGGTTTCTCAAAATACACAACTAACAATACATGAGCAAATAAATTTCCGTAGGTGTATATGTTTAGTATCATCAACTAATGAAACCACAACATAAGTGTAAAAAAGAGTTTTAATAAGTTTTTCTAGAAATAAACCTTGAGATTTGTTTTAAATTACACGTATGACATATGCCGCACGCTATAATGCGTAACAGTTACCAATCGTTATTAATAAACGACAGCTCAATACTACAAATTAAATCACATGCTTCGGATTTTTCAGATATAAAAAGTCCTGCTATTGAAATAAATCCTCAAAAATTGTGACGGACTTTTATATTCATCTTCCGACTAATTTTGAATGACGACTTAACAATTGATTGGAATATATACCTGTAAAACCTTCAAAAAACATCACTACGAATACTATAATAAACAATCCTCTTCTTTAACATCAGTTAAGGTTAAGCTATCCAGATTCTGAAATGTTTTCGGAACCCGTATTCGAGATAGATGAGGACTCAGTCTCACCACTCCTAGACTCACTACGTTTCCGCAAACACAGTCTGGGCCGTTCATAGTCACCTAATGTCGGTTTTATTCGCATTCCCGGCAGAGACTGATGATTTGAAGCCTTATGTATTGAAGAAACTGGTTTCACAAATTCAAAGCTTCCACTTTCACATCGTCTTCTTATCGCTGTTGCTTGGGTTGAAATTTTTGACGATCCAGCGGCAGTACGTAGGTGCTGCGATGATCTATATGAATTTGTAACAGATGGTGACGAGAATGTTTGACGACGAACCAGTGATGTCCTGTCACCTCCCACAACCGAATAAGAGGCTGATAATGACGGCGAGAAACTAGTAAAATCACTGATCCTGGATGAAGTCTTAGAACTGGAAGTGCACGATAACAATGGAAACGATGGTGTACTAAAGGATGAAACTGAAGAATTTGATATACGAGTGGAACTGGGCATAGAACACATTGCATTCGATGATTTGGTGAAAGCAACTGAAAGAGGGACAACTCTTGCACAGGAACTTTCTTTCACACCCAATCTCGTTTGCCGTGATAGTGCTGCTTTAGGCAACTTCTCGGTCGACAACTTTTGAATAAAAGACTTGGGTTGTGACTTTGAAACTAATGAAGATAAAGTGGTCTCAGATTCGGACTGAACTTGCACACTAATTTTATCTGTCGCTTTCCGTAATTTAGTTACTGCTGTCTTGGTAGCAGCCGTACTTTCCGAAATAGATTGTGTTGCCTTATTCTGAAAAAGACGTGGAGACGAACGTATTTTCAACGAAGAGAAAGTTGTTGAGCGTAAGTTGTGTGAATGTGACTTATGCAATTGAGGCCTAAGTGTAGCTAAACGTGATGCCGATGGTTTTGAGCGTACCTCGTCCACAGAACCAGGAACATCGGAACCAGTAAGATATGTCAATGAGATCTCATCATCGCTCTGGTTATCACCATTGTCTTCCTCCATCGCGTCTTCTTGAGCTTTCATCCATTCATCTTTTTTTGAATCAATCATAGCCTGCAATTGAAAACATCAGTTTTGCAGAGGTCCAGTCATTTTATTACAGTTACCAGCGGCAAAGAAGAACTACAACAGCAAACAAATCCAGCTTAGTAAAAAAGGAAAACAAAATAATGGTTTTCAAAACGATAGAATACGTTTTTGTACACTTGAAGATTATTATTACTCCATTTCCTAAAAAGTTGAATGATGTTGATTTGACGTATTCTATCATTCAACACACCATCATTTGTAACCGCAGTAAACGACCAAATGGCAATCAATTCTGTTCTATTCGAAATAGATGATACTGAAAATGACTGAAATTACAATAACCTTAGCCTCTTTTACTTCTTCTTCAAATTCTGGCTTGTATTCCGCTTCCAGAAAATTGACTGCGTACCGTTCGATTGGTTTTAACTGAAATAGAAAAATGATAAAAACTCATCTAAATATCATATCTATTTCAGACAAAAATGTTCTCAAAACTCTATATTATGTACAGGACCAAAAATGCTTATAACCATTAAATTATGCTAAGAAAAGATAAGAATGGAGAAAAATAATATACTTGATTTATTAGTTCTAAATATTTCGATTCAATTTTTTCTTGATTGTTCTCAACGGAAGCTATTAAACCATTTTCATCGAATTCCGCAATATCTGCTTCTACTTCAGCATTTGCTCGCTGTGCTGCATGAACGTCTTGTATATCCTCAACTTTTGCCATGGCCTAAAAAAAAAAAAAAAAACATCGGTTTATTTATGCGATTCGAGTGATAACAAAAACGATAATCTATATATAAACGTGTTTAAACGATGACATTACGCTGGAGATACAAAACATTCTGTTAAATATAAAGACAATCTGAAACACACATTTATTTTCCGAAGTTAAATAATTTCAAATGCAAAGACGTACTTTTTCAATTTCTTTATTATCTATCACAGCCACTGGAACAACGACATCGGTTACATTTGCAACACCTTCGAACAAGTCTCTTACATTATCCCCTTTGAAAAATTCCGGCGTGAATCCCGCCTCATCAATAGCCATTTCACCGAGACGTCGCTTCTGCATCGCTTTTCGCAGAATATTTTCTTCAATTGTTCGCTCGCTAACTAGACGGTAGATTGTGACATTTCGTGTTTGACCAATCTAAAATCAAAAGTTCATTAAAGCTCCAAAAATTTCACAGAATTTTAAAAGTTAATCAGAGTTTCAAACCCAGTTGTAATTTTAAGCTAATTAAGCAGGTTAATAAACTATCAATGTTTTTGGTTTTTTTTTTTTTTCTTTTTTTTTTTCTGAACTTACACGATGACAGCGATCTTGCGCTTGTGCATCCATAGTTGGATTCCAATCGGAATCATAGAAAATCACCGTATCTGCTCCAGTCAAATTAACACCTATGCCACCCGATCGAGTTGATAGAATGAAACAGAAAATCTTTGGATCGGCATTGAAGCGTTCAGTCATTGCCTAAAAATATCTCGGAATTAAAGTTCTTGAAGTTCAAAAATTGATTACCGCATCTTGCTCTCTTTTTCCCTCATTTAAACATTTTTTATACTCTTATATTCTTTTCAAACAAAAAGCCTCTTTGTTACCTTACATTTATGTTGCAATTTCTATTTTTCTCTAAATTAAAGCTAAATTAAAATTACTAAATTCTTTAGTAGAATAGAACTTAATTTCTGCTATGTGGATTACGAATAAACATAAAGAAATTGGAAAATTCTGGAATATAAGCAACTTCTAATAGACAAAGACAAAACTGGATGCAGCAAACAACTTGGCAAATAAAGTTACTTGTCTCTGTTCAATTCCAGTCGTCCCATCCAGACGAAAATACTGATAACCGTGGAACGACAAGAAAGCTTGCAAGATATCCAAAACCCGTGCCATCTGTGTAAAAATTAGACAGCGATGTTTGTAAAGGAAGAGGTCATGCAACAAGCTGTTTAGTACTTGGAGTTTACCTGAAGTTTCCTTATAAAAGAATAACGTTAATCTTAACACTGCCACAAGTACATGAATCCATATCTAAAGTTTTTCAAAAGAATATTTTCATTTAAGTGACAAGGAAAATGAATGAAAGATTATGCATAAATACAAGTAAAGATGGGTATACAAACATAAACTAAGAAAGAACGTTTACCACAATCATATTCAATTAATCGCAATTCCGGAAACTGGAGTTTCTGCATCATATCTATATTAGAAAATATTCTGTTAGAATTCAACACCATCCGATGACATTCTTCATTCAAATCATCCCATTCTTTTCTTATGTAGGCATGACATCCGGTAGTATTAATTTGCAAAACAGGTTCATCTGCTAAAGCGCCATGTACGAAAACAGTGAACCTATGAAATTACAAAGTATAATGAAAGCTCTTATATTTTATAGTTAATTTGAATACCTTTAGTTAATTTGCTAATTTAATTTGAATCGATAAGCTTAAAAAGTTGGAGTATATTGTCATTTCGATTTTTTCCAAAAACAATGCGAAGGACCAGTAACTGCTAGAATTTTGCATACTTCGTTAAAACCGAGTAATAAAATGGATTTATTCAACTTCTCAGAAGGAGTATGAAATATCAGTTCACCTTTGTGATGCATCACTAGTCCAATCAACCAACGACTGTGTCAACCATCCTAACGAATCTATAATAAACGAATAATTGAATATTTGATAATTGTAAAACATTACGGGACAAATATCTCTCTTATAAAAGAAACTTGAAACGTATCATAATTTGTCACCGGAAAAAGAAAACAAAGTCTGCTAACCTGTTGTTGATAAATTGTAACGATGATGTTTCGTCCGACCTAATTCTTTTTTGATGACAGATAATAGTTCATCTGATACCAACGGTGTACGACAAACATTAGGAAATAATAAACGTCGAGAGCAAATTGTTGCACAGCGCTGCAAACTTTCTACTTTTGCCTGTTCCACAGCTTTCGATGTATCCGGCTTAAAGGAAATAACTAAAAATCGCTATCACATCTCTGTTTAATATTTTTAAAAACCCTAGAAGAAGCATAAAGGATGGAATATAGATATATTTATAACATAGGAAAAACAAACTGATCAAAGAAATGTTTGCGATACTGAAACAATAAAGGATGTCTTGAAGATTTAAGCTATTACTCATATATATAAGCAATATTTTCTTGGCAATGCTAAAGAATTAAAACAGCTCATAACTAAAAATTCGTCACATTCAATAGAAGGCCTCATATCAAGCATGTTTAATGTGACTTATTTAAATATGATTGGATAAATGGATTAAAAATTAGCCATTCTTATACAGGTTTATACACTTACCAAAATAAGGAAGTCATATAAGCCTAGTTTTTCATCGGCCTGTTCCACAGCTACGGTTGGTTTCACTTGATCAATTTCAATCACTTCAACTTGAACTCGGTTGGTATCAATTGCGCTACCCGTATTACCCACACTAGCAGATTCCGGCTCCAATAACTTCACTTGTTGTGCTCGATTTATCTAGAAGACACAAAAATCTTAGCTAGTTTCAAAACACTTTGCAAATATTTATTAGAGCCAGAAACATGAAAAACTAAGAGACGAAATAAATACATAGAATAAAGGGTTAGAAATGTATAGATATTTTTTAAGTAGCATAGACAGCGTTTACCGGAAATGTTGCAGCAATATGAGTTTCAGGAAGTGATGTGCAGCCATTGTTCACCGTCCCAGTACCCTTTAAACAGGTATCACTTGAAGAGCGCGTTTGCGATAAAATTGTTGTGGACCGAAAAGCTGGCTGAAGTAGACGATTTATAGAAAAAATATCCGCAGAAAAATTTTTTCCGAAATAGTCGGAACTCAAAAATGAAGTTGGAGAAATCAACAGCTTACTTTGAGTAAGGGAACAGCTGTGGATAAAGATGTAGTTGTTGGCTCTACTGTGGTCTGTTTTACTGACAAAAGTTTTGGCGATGTCTGCAGTGTTGATTGCGCTGCGAGCTCAGTTGATGACCTGGCAGCAGGAGTATTTTGTGAAGTTGTTGCATTGGAAACTAAAAGACGGTTACCAGCTACAGAATTTGGTTCACATTCACGAACTGTATGACCACCTGTACTATCAACTACCTGCAAAACATTATGAGTTGGATACAAAAAAAAAATACTAAATCTCTAGACAGATAACTTGATAAAAATAACAGAGATTTGACTTCAAAATACAATGCGACAAACCAGTTGATAAACCCGTGCATTGCCAAGATCATCAACTGAAACATACAGCTCATTTCCTCGTGGAATGCCTAAAAAATTGGAGAGTAGAATTGAAAAAGTGATAAAATCTAATAATTTTATATAAGTGGATAACTGGTATAGCAACATCGAAACCACATATTTACTCAACTTTGCGAGCTATAACTGTTATTGCTTGCTGAATGCAATATGGAAAAAGTTTCAAGAAGAATTAAAAAAATCTCTCCTACCCGCTGATGGCAGTGGAACTGGCATAAAAACTTTTGATCCTTCTCTCGTTTGCGGTTGTGGATGCAGCTGCTGCAATTCGAAAGTTTTATAGAATTGAAAATTTAATCTGTTCGCTTCAGAATTAGCAGTCACACAAAGATAAGCAATATGAATTGCAGAATGATAGAGAGACTTTATTAAATCGGAAAAGTGCAATAAAAGTAGCGTTACTGACTGGTGGTGGTCGTGAGAAATGAAACCCTCCTAAATTTGGCATTGGTATATCCACTGGGCTAGAAAGATAATCGTTCAACATTTGTTCATTAATAGCTAAATGACGTCCTTCGCTGCATGCAAAGAGAGAACCACAAGAAGGTGAAAATTTGAAAAGATCCAAAACATCTATTTCTTCGAGGTCTCTTCTGAAAATTTGAAATGAAATGCTAGTGCATGTTCTAGTTATGATTGGATAATTTATATCGGAAATTTCGCTTGCAACACAATAAAAATTGATTGAAAACTTTAAAACTTACTAACCCCTGACAAATGTTTAACAGTATACCCGGCAAAGTAATGGTAAGAGGTTGCATCACAAAAGGTGACAATATCGGTCGCGGTTCAAACAAATTTGGATGGTTGCAACATTTCCGAAGCTGCATAACAATATTTAATACTGACATAACACTGCCTGATCGCAAATTTTCTCTCGTCCTAGAAGATTAAATGCAGAATCAACTGAGATATTACATCTGCAACCTCAGAGTTAGAAAAGCTGATGTTGACTTCATCTAGATATTCCAAATGCTGAACGCTTACTTGATGATACTGCATTAAGCCTCAAAGGGAACTCTTGATAAATTCAAGATACTAGCTGTCAAAATTTTTTGAAAATTCCTCAAAATTCCTAGAATTTATAATCCAACAGTTTTCAATTCAACCGACAACATTAATACAAAATAAAATTAATACACAAATGTGTAATCACATAGATATAATTACAAAGTCTCAAAAACTCCTGATATTTATAGCTGATGGCAATTTTAATCAATTTATGCTCTGCCTTAAGTTATGTCACTTTTTTTATTTCGAGTGACTCTCAAAGAGAACTTACGATCTCCTGGACATGAAATCATCATAAAGACATCGTTGCCGCTTCGATAAAGGACAATGGATAATATGTTCCGTTTTCTCAGGTAACTGCTTTTCCACATCGCTTTTCAGACGTCGCAAAATAAATGGCCTGAGTACCTGAAATCATTTTAAAGCTTTAAAGTCAATCGATTTCGAAAATAAATTAGTAAATGGGACAAAATTTTTAAAGCTTCAAAAATTAGTGGTGTAAGTTCTATTAAGTCTCAACTGTTTTCATAACCACACACGAAATTTTAGTGAGTCACTATAGTTACTACCCTCTGTACAAAAGGAAATAACCATTTGTTTATCTGCTAAATGATACTCCAATCCATAAACACTTGGTTGTTGGCTCCTGTCGATTAAGCCTTACTCAAGCAACAATCAGGAGCGGATTTTAAAGCTGTCTCCAGCTTTCGGAAATATCAAATGAAGCCTTCAGAACGTCTTACTGGTTGTCACACTATAATGAGCAGGACAATCCAAAAAGAAAAATTTAGGAAACTAAAACTTTCGAAGATACGTACTTTATGAAGTCTCTGTATTAGAGAAGCATTCCATTCAGCATTACCTTCCATCATATCATTTAGAGGATTACTAAACCAATCTTTGAAATCATTATGCGATGCAAAAATAGCTGGCATAAGAAAGTGCATAAGTGACCAAAGCTCCATCAAAGAATTCTGCAGCGGAGTACCCGTTAAAAGTAAACGACGACGAGCTCGAATGTTTAACAATGTTTGCCAACGCTGACTTTTGAAATTTTTAATATTTTGTGCCTGTAAAGTTTTTTTTTTTTTCAAATTTAAAAATGCAAGTAATGCAATTTGGTACCTCGTCCTAATGATTCAGATGTACTTTAGTGGAAAGTATATGAAAATCCATAATAAACATAGAAACTATTGATAAATTAAGTGGTCATAACAACATGCTTATATGTTGTTAGCAGATTTCTATGAATCTTATTTGCAAGAAAAATTTTACCTCATCCAAGATAAAATACTGCCAAGTCTTATGTTTAAATGACCGAATATCCTGCGTAACAATTTTGTATGAAGTAATGCAAACATGGAAAGCATTCATTTTAGACCAACCCTAAAAAAATCTCAATTTCATCATAATTATGATAAAATCACATCACTGATATAGCCATGGATAGAGTTGAAATAATAACGGAGTTGCTTATGAACCACCTAAAAATAAATCCTACCTCTGCAACAATTAAGCTATAGACATCACTTTCTGCGACGAGTTAAAAGAAAATAGAAAGGTAGCAAAAAGAACAAACCTTCCGCTTCTCAGCTCTCTCTTTTTGATTACCAAAATAAGTAAGCAATTTGAAAGCCGGGCACCATTTTTTAAATTCCATTTCCCAATTCAAGATCACTGACGTTGGTACAACAATAAGATGTGGGCCCCAAATATATTCTTTGCATGCCAAATGAGCAAGCAATGCTATTGTTTGTATTGTTTTTCCTAAAACATTTCGGAAATTTTTTTATGAAATAAAGAATTAAACAATTCAGATTAGAAAATATAATCTAAAATAAAATAAAATTATATACCTAAACCCATTTCATCAGCTAAGATGCCGTTCAAGCCATTGTCGTACAAAGTCACTAACCAATCCAAACCAACCATTTGATATTCCCTCAATGTGCCCCTAACCAGATATGGTACTTCTGTCTTTACTTGAGTAGTTTCCAAGGTGAACCCTTTTGGCTGAAATTTTAAAGCTTCCTCCGCAATATTCGCTAATTCCTTTTGTCTCTCTTCACTATTTTCTGATGTCAGCCGATCATAATTTATCGCAGCGCTTATAGCGCCTTTTTCTGCATTTTCTATGTGCGTAGGATCAAGCGTTTCTTTTTCTGATACAGATGAAATGCTTTGCGTAATGGATGCACTGTGACGTGTCGAGTCTTCCTCTGAAATAAAATTGCATTGAATTTTCAAAAAACGAAACAACATATAAAAAAAGACGAAACAAAAAAGTTTCAAAAGTAAATAAATATAATATTTAAAAACAATCATTGTGCCAAATACCCTGTGTGATTTCCGACGCTGTATATTCAGTAGAAACTTCGCTTCCTTCTGGGCGTTTGTAATCTGCAGATGTGCCCTGTGTCGATTCAAATAAATCCTCCTCATGCCTCGACTTCGAAATACTTTCCAAATACCCACGAGGAAGCTGAAATTACAAGTTCTTCACTGGTGTGCAACTCCATAAAAATACAAACAGATTATTAGAAAAGATTTTGGTCAACATTAATTTATTTTCCTTAACATGGCGCCACTTTTTTTTCGCCTAATTTTAGAATTCTACAACTTTGAAATATACCGAATCAAGAAAATCATCAAGTTCAAGATTTCCTTCGGCCATCAATCCTTGCATTTCCTCCTCAACATTTCCATCCACTGCTTCAGCATCCGAAAGTGAAATATCATCCGAATCGGTTGAAAAACTTGCAGCATCTTCATCTAAAGAATATTTTATAAAACATCGCAATCCAAACTACGAACTTTACAAAATACAGAAAAATGCGAGAAAGAACGACATTTTGTTGCATAACAGCAAGCATTACGGGATTAGAAGAGAAACTAAGAACGCATACCTTTGGTAATATCACCACTCCGCAGCGACGATGCTCTGCTTGATTTTTCGCCTATTAAACCTTCCTGCACCATTTCACTTAATTTATCAGCATGACCCACCATCACTTCCAGTTGCTGGTCTAATGCTTTCCGCTTCATCGATTCAATTATTTCCTGGAAATAGGTTCAAAGCTTGAACTAAAATCCTATGTGTTTCCATTCTTCATTAAAGAAAATTAATGAGCAGATTACACAGGTTTCATATTTCTCCGGAGGCAAAGGTCTTAACTCCAAAAATTACGAGTTTCTAGGAATAAAAAGTATAGATGCAAAAACACTGTCAATATCTAAAGACCAAACATTATAAGATTTGAAAAAAAATTTATTTCGCAAGAAAATTACAGACACTACAAGGAAATAAAAGATGAAAATTCTCAACCTGTGCATGCAAATCAACCACTCTGTCAACATTCTGCCAGAAGTCTCGAACCATTTTTGCGATGAGCGCACATATGCGCTTTGCTTCTCGCACAGCCCGTTGCTCTGATCGTTCCTTTTCCTGTTCTCGATCTCGTAACATTCGGGCAATTTGAGAGGAAAACTATAGATAAAAACTATTTAGCAATGATTCAAAATTTGAGTAAAATAAGAAATAGTTTCAACATTCACGGGAGCTATTCTGTTACATTGAAATGTTAAAAAACTCGACTTACGAACCTTTTTTGCTGCTTGGCGCTTGAAAGTTCGTTCCTGACGAAAATCTATGGCCATCCAGCGCATTTCTTCCAGTAAGTAATCCCAATGTGTCTTATTTCTTGGAGGCATTTCAATCATTGGTAATCGGGAAGCTGTCCAGAGACCCTGTCTTCGAAGTTCGGCAATTCGGGCTAATACTTGAGCTTCCTAGAAAACAAAGAAGTAACACAACAAACGCATAGATGTCGTCAACTTTCAATGCCTATTTGAACAGCCAAAAATAAATGGATTTAGAATGGTTAAAGCAGTCAAACTGACATTACTGCAACCAGTGTTAAAGTCAAAAAAATTTTTTCTGGAAACTGCTAATTACTATTTGAAAGAGCTTAATGAAGTCTTCGATCTCTTTACTTGAAATTTGAATGTGACCGATTGATCCCTTCAAAATTCAGGATTTTTCTAAAGTTGACAGACATAAAACTTGTACAGTTGCGTACTGAAATAACACTAAACAATAAGAAAACTAACTTGTTTAGCCACTCGTTCAACACTTGACTCTACTCCAGCCGCTGAGGAACTTCGAGGCGTAGAATGAGCAGTGGCTGAAGGTATCGACGATGCAGGATGTGCTGTAATTGTTGAAGTTGATGGCTGTTGCTCCAAATATGAAGAGCAGGGCTGTAAAATTTTTCGAAGTTTGTGAGAAATTTTAACGGAAAATTATTTTAGGAGACTTATGAACACACAAAATCAAAATTCATAGCAACATGAAAGCAGCTACCGATGCTGCGCTGTTTTCTTCCACTTTTATTTCAATGGGCGAAAGAGATGCTTCTGGTACATCCAAAACTGGTCGGACGTGTTGCTTTCGGGTGACAATATCTTCTCGTTTTGCTTCTGGACCTAACAGCGAATTAAGAGACATTCCGAGACTGAAAACATGAGAAATGAATGAACGATTTGATGCTGGATATGAAGTTTCGAATTCACAGCATTCGGATATTAGGTGAGAACTAACCTTCTGTTATTTAATGTACGTTAGATTTATACTGAAACAACTATTAAATCTAGTTAAAGCTGCTACATAAAAGTAACAAAAACAACATACCTTACTCCATCTTCAAATGTCAATTCGCTGTTAACAATGCCAGGATTAATTTGATTCTCACTTTCATTTCCAATATTTGTCCTGGAACATATTCAGCGGACATACTCCTAACTGTAAAATTTCACAACGTATATATCTGAATTTCTTACACTGTTTAGAAGTGATTACTCAAAAAAACTAACCTCTCTAATGCAACATTTCTTCTATTACTATGGATGTATCGCATTTGAGCTATAAGCCGTACTCCTAGCTCTATTTTCGCATCAGTTTTCCTTTTTGTGCTGACTCCTTCGCTTTTAGAACATCCCTCCATGGGATCGTCAGTATTAAGACGGCGCCGTCGCGTCTGGAAAAAAAAAAACATAAGAAAATAAATAAATAATTGAATGTTTCGTAACAAAGGTTTAAATTCAAATGCTATTATAAACTTGATCTTTAAACAAAGACCCTGTTGGTATAGAAACTAATTTCTGTTAATTGGTAAAACTGTTGAGTGATAAAAAACCGACAAAATGGGAGATAAACCAATGTTTTATCTGTTCAACAGCACTACATATTCGTTACCAGGAGCAGAGTGACACCTAAGAACTTACAAGCTGTTTAAATGTTCCTTCAAAGCTATGCGGCAAATTCTCTGCTTCCGTCTACAGTGTATTCAATATCAGTTGGTATTTACAAAGAAAGAAAAAACACTTCATGAAGTGGCAGAAAATTCAAAATTTCGAAATAACACATGAATTAAAGTACAACTCGCTCGTAGAATGGCGAACCTTCGTAGAAGCGAACGGTATTTCATGGCAAATTCTTTAAAAGAAAAAGCCGGAACCCTGAAGTAAACTGTTACATCAAAGTGAAATAAGCTTTAAACTTACGGGAGGTGATGTGTCGCCACCGGATGAGTCCATTGATATCATGTCATCTGGATGCATTGTGCTTGTTGTTGCTATGTTAACGTTACGTCGTGAACGACGAATGGGACGTGAGATACTACTCATACTTGGCTGGTAGATGTCAAATTAACAATCATAACGTATTTTCACTGACTTTTGCAACCCTCCAAAATCCTTCAATAACAACAAATGTCCTTTCCTTTCCTTCACAAACAGTGTTAAATTTGATGTACAATTTACGACACGAAGAACTACACCGAAACATTAAGTTGACCCTGACCTCTCACATAACCCCGCGATGACTCATCCTCATACTAATCTTTCCATCACTAGAACCGAACTTCATCGAGCCTGTTTTGACCTTCTGCAACAGACGGGCATACCAACAATACCGTATTCCCTCCAACACGATGAGCAATTGAGCGTTATAAGAATCATACCATTCAATACAACTAAAAATTCCCGGATTCAACATTCGGTTGTATGCGTGGTTTTTTCTTTCTTCTTTCTTTTATTGATTTAAATTGTTATTATGTAAATTAAATGCGTTGATTTAAAACATAAAACGAGAAGAAATTGGTTTTGGTGCATGGAAATGAGACATAACGATTGCTAAGAAACGTTGTGATATAATTGAATATTGAGTGTTGAAGTGTGATTTTTGATGTTCAGGAATTATTGGTATAAATAAATAAAGATTGACAAGTAAATAAAAAAGTTTTTAGATTAAGTAAGCAACAATTTAAGTAACTGATACCCGAAATTTTTTTGAATTAATTATATTTAAGCTTATTAAATATTCATTTAATAGTATGAATATGTTATTAAGTGATATAAGTCTAGGTAATATTTGGTCAAGGGAGCAAGCCAGAGAAAAAAAAACGATAAAAGCGCTAATAGCTGCAAAAAGGTTGTTTTTAGTAACAGAGAACAATAGTGAGTGTTTTGAAAGTGTTTTAAGAGTATGCTGCTTGAAGTGTTAGAATTGGACAATATATTGTACCTTCATTGCAAAATTTATGTTAGAATTTGTTTTTTGAATAAAACAAATTTAGATTTTCTTATTTTACTTCTACTCATCTTTCGACTTTTAGTTTTTTGATCTAAGGTTTTTGCTTACTTGCAAAAACCTTAGATCAAAAAAGCTGAAGTTCTTAAGATGCTAGTATTTAAATTCATAACTCAGCGTTTTATTTTTTGCAGAGATATGGCTTTAGCACTGTTAAGTGTCAACATTTGTCAGTTCAGTGGCTGCGGACTTAACTTTGGAAACCTCCATGATTTGCTTCAGCACATCGAGGAGACACATATCCGTAATTTATTTTGTTTTATTTTTTTTTTTTAACCTAATTAAAACTAGTATCATGGGGTTTTTTTTTAGTTTTAAAAATATGAGTCTGTCATCTTTTGCTCACAAATCTTCTAGTTGTCCTATCTGATCCGGTTTCTATTCCGTTGTAGTGAAAGAAAAGAATTAGTAAAGCAGGCATTAAAACCATTAGGACAATAAATTTATCCCCCTACTTGAATGTTGGGTAAAACTTCTTAATTAAAATAGGAAGGTAAGCTTTTAACTTCCAGCTTTATCGGAGTGAAGAAGGGCTGAATAATAGCATGCTGTATGTATACTTGAATAGAGCGAAGTAATAGTGAATGTTTGTTAAAAAAGTAATATTGACATGCAATTACTGGTATAATGCAGATAATGAATGAATACATATTTGATCTTGACTCGTAGACTTTGAATTTCATTAGTTATAATTGCAGCTATAATCGAGGATGAAATGAAGAAGAAAGAAGAAAATGCTAAAAACTCTTCTCTGGACGATGATCCTTCGAAAGCTGCGGCATTAACCGCTGTTTTTCCAATAAGCACAATTTGCAAGTAAGCTCTGTGTTCAAGTTTCAAAAATATTTTGCCATTAGTCGACTGAATTAGATGTGCTTGTTTTGTGAAGTTTTATGATTAAGCATTATCTCCTGAAACCTGTGTTTAATTCAAAAATAGATTTGTCTGTCTTTAATGAAAGGATTAAAAATAAGATAGAAATGTTTTTGAAAAATCCTAATTTATTATTTTCAGGTTATTTTCAAAACTTCCTCCTCATAAAGCAGTTCCGATTAATCCCGAACCTGTGAAGCTTGCGATTGGCCACTACAGGTTGTAATTTCAACTATTAAACTTTGATAATATCTCCACTGCCAGAAATTGCAGCACTTTCCAGTGAAAGTTGTCTTAGATCTTATCCTGAAGTGTGCTTCACTTTGGATTTACCACTTGCTTGCGCCATCGACGATGATCGTATTTCTTTCGTGAATTATTTCTTTTTTAACATTAAATACAAATGATACTTTTAGACCAGTTCCGTGGTTTTCCAGGAAAAAAACATTAGCGTCTGCAGTTGTCGGTGCGAATGTTTTTGGACAAGCTGGAGACAAATCACGTTTTGGTAGCTTTCTAAATTCTAATTTGTTGTTTATGTTGTCAGTTGTTACTTTATTTATTATAGAAATGATCCTGTGAGCACTAATGTTGAAAATTAGGAATAAGAGTCAGAAAATTGAAATGGTTTTATTTTCGAAGCTATTCCTACCTTTTCAGATCAACATGATGAAGAATCAAATGATTTATACAGAAACGAGGACTGTGATGACTATGAGCAGGGGTGAGATTTAATAAAAATTCATATTATCTTGTAGTCTCATAAGAAGCATTTTGTGGAAGGGTCCGAAAACCCTGTAATATTTTTTTGAAGTCAGTAAAGGGTACCTTCTTTGGCTACCAGAATTTTAATCTACTTTGCTAAGATGTAAATAACTTATAAATGACATCACAGAGCGTAGATGTTAAGACCCAAAAGATGGTAAACTAGAGAATGAAACCAAAGGAAGTTATGGTAAAGATCCGAAGCGATTTTGAAGTGCAGATCGATCATTTGACTTTGATTTAGAAGTGAAAGACTAATCGAACTATTTTTCTGAAGGTTCCCTTAGGATAGCTGGAGTACGTAATAAAGTAGTTATATTCACTCAAACAGTTATATTCCGTCCCTATTTGAATTTTTCTTCGAATTTCTTCATTTATCAAGTATTAAGTTGTTTAAGTTTCGTGTTATTGCATTTCATTTCAAACAAATAGCACGGATGAAAGGCGACACAAATGTCCAGTTGAAGGATGCAACAAACGATACAAGAATCTGCAAGGAGCACGTTATCATGCGCGTCAAGTACATGGCTATAGTGAGGATAACGGCACCAATAATGCAGTATCGTTTGACTTGACTGCTGTGGTGCCTGGACAAGTTGCGCCACTGATTCAGTCCGGTACACCTAGTAAATATGCAAAGTTTGTTATTTTTTTGAGAAAGAAAATATAATTGATTAATGATTGATTTTAACAAACTTAATCTTAAACTATTATTTGTAGTTTGCGTCCTTACAAATGTAGTCAATGTTCGAAGCGTTACAAAACTACTGTTGGATTAAATAACCATGTGCAACAGTCACATCAACGTATTAATAATGGTAAACTGTTTTTCCACTGAATCATTAGTTTGTAACTCCTCAATTAATTAAAATGATGAAGTTGTAGCTGGAAATCCTGCTATGTCAACAAATTTAGTACCGGTTTCGCCCTCAGCTGTCTCAATTTCAACAACACATAATAACGTTGCATCACCGGCGGCTTCCACTTATGTACATCTTTGAACTTCTTATTGAGCATACCTATAGTTCAGAATGATTCAGGTGTACCAAGTCAGTTCGCGTTGTTTTGCAGTTTTCAGCTCCAGATTGATGAAATTGATGTTCTATGTATAATGCAATGAATAACGCTGTATGTAAAGGCAGGAAAGAAAAACATAGCATAAGCCATTTTTTCTGCTTCCGTAAAGAAATCATGCAAAACTGATTAATTATAGGTGACTCCTGAAGGTGATGAACATGTAGCGGCACCATCGGGTTATTTGACATCGACAGTTCAAAATGCAACGCAAGTTCGAATTAACACACAGCCTTTGCCGTCTCTTGCACCAGTTACTGGACAGCAATACCAGCAGCAGGTACGTTGTGCTACTTAACTAGTACTGCTTTTAATTTTTCTTTCTTGAATTCAATTTAGGTTCAAACTTCAGATGTCTCATCCTACTAATGTAACAAAGCTTGTGTCGACAGTTAATGGTATGATGACGAGGAATATGAATGCTCTGTCATCATATGGTCCACCAACAAGTGAATCGCTGAATCCAGTCATATCTCGACCGGATACGCCACAGGTCACTGATTTTTGTGTTCAAATGAATAAAAGGCACTAAAACAAAAAAAGGTCTCTGGTACATTTCATTTTGAAATATACCACCATCCTGACACTTGAAAGGTTCCTATCCTCGCCTTAACATCAACAACATTTCATATGCAAAACAGTATTTTAGTAACGCAAAAATTTTGTCTAGATTACGTCAAATGCAAAAATTTGAAATAAAATTCATATTTTAGAAACCAAATCAAGCCGGATACAACAAATAGGACATCAACAACGTTTCATTTGTTTTATTCGCTGTTATTCTTTCGGCAATATAGTTGGAATATGTATAAAATCATTATGTACACATGAACAATATTAATAAAATTATTTAAACGCTCGAAACCTTCGGAATAATGGATGTCTATCTTCATCTTTGACAGTTCTTGTCTTCTGCGTATAGGAAATAGAGTTGCTTCCAGAGAATGATGAAAACGAGCCTTCTTTTCTCGTTGTCTGCAAAATAAACTAATATTTGCGAGCAAGTGGTGAAAAACATAACAAACGCCAAAGTGAAGATAACAATCTGAAACAAAAGAAGTGACGTGGCTTTTTGTATTTTTGGGCTTATGACTAATACTGCAAGAATCTTGAAAACAGAACCAGTCACGAGAATTAGTAGAGAAATTAAATCCAACTTATAGTCGAATAGTGATAGACATGAAGAGACATGCACATTAATAGCTTATATAAAACAAAAACTTTTCTAACTTTTACAAGTATGAACTCGGATTCAAGAAGTATATCAAGAATGCACTTACTTTCATTTCTTTTGAACCATCTACATTTTCTTCTTTAATATCCTCCTCTTCAGCATCTGCATCCGAAGCGGCTAGTACCTGCTGCAGTAATTGGAGTTGAGATTCTTTTGTGGCCAATTTCAAGGTTTCTTTTTCCATTCCCGGTAGTCGGTTTACGACCTATTTAAAATATATAAAGATTTTTTTTTTCACAAGTAATGAATGGAAACTTTTGGTCTTTTTTTTTTTGTCCTTAAAATAATTTCATTCGACATAACCGACATGACGATACAAACCTTATAAGCGTAACCCTGATTCACTAGGAAACGTTGTCGTTTGCGTGAGTAACTCATTTCAACAGTATCCTGAAAAAACATAGTAGAACACAGACACACAAAAAATTAGAAAAGATTAAAAATGTTACCTGCGAAACCAATGAATAGAAGAATGCATTGAATCCATCGCCTGAATTTTTCTTGGCTCGCAATATGCGTCCTAATCGCTGTGCTTCTTGTCTTCTAGAACCGCCTTGTGCGGAAATTTGGATCAAAACATTTGCTTCAGGCAGATCGAAAGATGTGTCTGCAACCTGCAAGAGCATAAAATTCGGTCGGGCACGTGAATTTACTCATTTGTAGTTATAGTGATACAACTGTTAAATATTGTTGCTATCCAAGTATCATTTCATTTCATTTCTTCGTTATCTTCGTTATCAGATTTTCTTGTCATTTCGAACTATGGAATTGGCTTTTAAATTCTAATATCAATTGAATTATTTCGAGCAAACCTTTGATACGAAAATTGTGTTCACTTTCGGATTATACTGGAAATTTTGCAAGATTTTCATACGTTCATTCTGTCCTGTTTCACCATATAAGAATGGTTTGTCCATCTCTATGGCATATTTCTTCAACGCGAATACATTGTCAGAAAAGACGATGATCTTAAATTTGGAATAAATTACTACGAATAAGTAATAACAACTGACTAATTTATTCCGATAGAAAAGAGAAGGTTGGACGACTAAATCCAGCAACCGACGGTTCTCTAAAACAGAATTTGAAGAAGTATTCCAGAAGTAAATTAATTTCCAAGATTGTTGCAACGGTAATTATCCGATACCTAGATGGGCATTCCCTTCTTATTATTTATTCTTCAAGATTTATTACTGTGATGCCGTGGTGTTTACTTCAGCCGCTTAAATGTTTGCTACTTTTCTCAAATCTTCACACAAAAAATACACAGTGAATTGAACCTAACTTTACAGCGACGATGTAGACGAACATCGATACTTGTATCTTGAATTTTCTTTTCCGGCAAATTGCTTTCTTAGATATTGCACTATTTTACATACATTAACAGTTACTGCTGATTTTTATATTCAAAAAAAGAACAAAAGCTACAGCCCTTACCTTGTCATTACGCCGCTCATGATACTTAATAAGGAACTGACATATGCGAAATTTATTGGGATTCATTACAGCTAGCAAAAGACGGCGCCCAATTTGAGCACGCAAATAGTACGAATAAAATTCGGCACTCATAGGACACCAAACCTAGAAGAAAACTCGACAAGCATATCATGTTACTATGTTTAATAAAAACTAATCTTAAATAAAGAAACATTAGGGATTATCCCGTTGATCCTAATATTACATTTCTTTAAAAAACTTTACCTCAGCACACTGTACTTTTGCAATTTGTCCCGCTTTTTCAAGTTCCATCCAATTTGCTTCATATAATTTTGGACCAATCAAGAAATTTAAATCCGTAATTTTATCATCTTCACGAACCAATGTAGCTGTTAATCCTAACTTACAATGTGCTCGAACAATTGTTAATACTCGTCGAAACATTTTAGCTGGTATTGTATGTACCTCTGCAAATTATTGTAATCAAAGTCTATATGCATATATAAAAAAGTAATCTTTATGGAATGTTGAAGAATGAAAGCTCGAACTTCTATCGAATTATGTACAAAATATATTCATCATTCACGTATCTATATATTCCGAACTAGAAAAAAGATATATACCATCTAGCAAGACAAGTCCCCATTCACGGCTTTCAATATATTTCATAGCTTCTTCGGCTGCGTATGTTCTTTTTCCAGTATATGCAACCATGGAATAAGTACTTATGCATACAATTGGCTTATTAGCATTTGAACCAGATGGTACTGGGTCACGTGCCTCACGCGTAAACCGAATCAGTTGGTCGTCTCGAATTGTTGACCAGAGCTGAGCATTTGAAAAAAGGAATTCTTTTCAAAAAATCTTTCAAAAGGTTCTTGTTTGTTTAGAAAAGTTTTGTTAAAAATTGTTCGTGAAAAAATCTTTTGAAAACACCATAAAATGACTTTAATGGAAAATCATAAAAATATGGAAGATCTATAAGTTAAACAGAGAAAAATAATTAGTAATTGAAAAAGTCACCTTAAATTGTCCACGCCATTGCTCTACTGAAACGTTTGACGTCGCTAGCACCAAACACCGTTTATTGACTGTTGTAGCTGCAGTAACGCCCACTAACGTTTTACCAGCACCACAAGGGAGGACAATAACACCGGAACGTGCACGACTGTTACCAAACATTTTCCGTAAACTCTTTTCCTGATAGGGCCTGTCAATATGGTATCATTAGAATTTTGTAATATATGAACTTTTGTACGTTAATTTCACAAATTTCTCTTTTAATTACATTCTAAACTAATATACAGTAACACCTTAAATTAGTAGATGACTTCAGATCGATTCCAAGATTTTCATTGAAAGTATCATTGCGAAAATCATATTCCGCTAGCAATGGATATTCCAATTCGATGCAGCGTTTCTGTACAATTTCAATCGATTCTTGCTTGATCTTTAAAAAAATTTTCAATTGTCATTGAATTTAAAAGGATTCATTTCTAAGATAAGTACGTATAAGTTAAAATTTTTAATTTTTAATCTAAAAAAAAGAACCTTTTCATTCGACTTACTTCAAAAGTCAGCAGTTGAAGGTTTCTGATGGCTTCTTCATCCTCATCTTCATCATCACCGTCTAATTTACCATAATATGAATCGATATCCTCAGGCACATCACTTGACTTTTTGGCATCTTTTTCCTTTGCTTCTTGATGCTGATATTGGATTCCCGGAATTTGTATTTTTTCCATGTTTATGTTCTGCAGAATAACAAGTTCTGCTAGATCTTGGGAAAACAAGAAACAAATAGTTCATAATATTAAGAGAAGAAAAGTTCGAAGAACATCCATGAACTTAACGTATAAACTCTACTTATTTGTAACACTTCTGCTAAATTCTACATGTCTATGTAATTATATCTTTGAAAAAACCATGACAATAATGAGCTGTTTAAGATTCCGTCTTCCGTGTTATTTTATATTCCGGAAATCATTTAACAGAAGCCTTTCAGTTCGAGGTGTTTATCTTGCTTTAGAACTTACTGTTTGTGGTATTTCTGTTGCCGGTTTTTCTTCTATAAGGCATTGTTGGATTACTTTATCCTTCAATAAAGTTTGTATAACGTCAGAATGGCGCGATTCAATGAAATATCGATTGTATTTGAGCACCAACTTTACCTTTCCATAGCTAAGAGTACACATCTATAAATCAGGAAAATTATTTCGCAAGAATCCGTACAAAATCTTTCTATTTCTTGAAGCTGCATTATTTAAACTGAATAGCTGTAAAACCTTCGTTTCCTAAGCACATTTTCGGGAACATTTATTTGCTTTTTTGCACACAAAAAAGTTTTCAGTACGAAGTTATCTTAACTGGACTATTAACTGCCCTATTATTTTTAACTGATTAAATAAAACTAAAAAAAGCTAGTCAATTCTTACCTTAATAAATTCAATAATTCCCTTCGGTAAAGAAGATTTCGATAACCTCTCCAAATATTCAATAATATCACTGGTTTGCAAACCGATTGACACAGCAGCATATAGTGAATAAGCCGTAAGTTGATATTCATGAATAAATTCCGGTCTACAGACTGGCTAAAATAATGAGATTAAAGTTTGATTTGAATGAAGCATGGCGGACAATCTTACAACAATACGCTCAGTGAAATAAATAATACTACATAAACATGATACAGGCGCTGTATCACCCGAGAGAAATTTATTATCAAAATAAAATCAAATGATCTAGTCGTATTGATTTTGCTATTTAAGTAATGCGTTAACGTATTGATTTTGCTATTTAAGTAATGCGTTAACGAATTCAGCTGCTACATGAACTGCTGTTTGCTTAATATCTTAAATTTTTTTTTATTTTCTTCCCAAATATGTAAAGTGTAAATTTCGAAATTTGAAATATAAAGAAGTCAAAATATTAGATAAGTAGTAAACAATTATCGATAAAACAATAAGCAACCTCAGAAATAGCAATTAAGAAATCATGGGCATGCTTATACACAGGGCTGAATGATTCCAGGAAGATATGACCATCGGGAGCAACCCAAAGAGGACGTGATGCATGATCGGGTTTCAATTTCATTTCATGTCGGTAATCCTTCGCTCCAAAATCATCAGTACGTGTAACCGTAGTCTGTCCTTCCAAATTGTGACTAGCTGCTTTTGGTACTAAAAATAAATGAACTCAATAACAGAACAACCTTCCAAATAAGTATGAAAATAAGCAAGAAAGAATAGCAGATTTCGTAAAATTTTTACTGCAGACAGTCTAAAACCGGTATTAGGCGTAATTAAACACTTCAAATGACATGAGGCCAAATGCGATATTAGTAACTCTCAAATTCATAACTAAGATTGAAACGTTATAATTCTGCACCTGGAAAAATTGAAAACTTCATATTTTAATTATAAATGTATTTAATCTGGGATCACTAACGTATCGTTCCTAGAGCAATATGCAACATTTAAATCTTTCTCCATCAGCAAATATCTTCACAAAGAAAAAGAAAAAATAACCTGTAGTATCTTTATCGCTGGAAACACTTTTTTCACCTAAATTACTCGATTGAGAATTTTCATCAGCATTGAAATCGGCATTGTATTGCTCCCAGCGACCACGCTTACGCCGTTCACTTTTGCCGGGTGCCATCCACCTACTCTCAAACTACAAAAGGCAATTTATGTAATGGAATCAGAATTTTAATTTGAACAAAATATTAAAAAATTTAGTCCGGTTAAAATATTTATTGACCAAAATATTAAAGGAATTCAAATCCTTTTTACATGTATAATATTATGACGACTTATTTATTTTGCATTAAGACAATTTTTCAAATATTATTCGTATCACCAAGCACACACAAATACCCAAATGTATACATTTATGAAGAGTAATAAACAATAACATAATAAATAATAACGATAATATAATAAATAATAACAAATTCTGAATTTAGGATGCACTCAAAAATATTTGCATAAATCAAAACCCGTATTGAATCCGCAAGAAAAAGAAAAATATGAATGAATCTAAAATTTCGATTTGAACAATCGCTGGATTTTCTCTCCATCAGGAAATTTATTCCACTTAATTTAATAATCATTTGAAGAATTAAAGTTTCAGTAAGCATTGAAATATTGGAAACGGAAGCTATGGACAAATTAAGTAACGAGTAATAGTCAAGCAAGTACAGTTTTTTTAATGGAACCAATGTTTGGCACTGATAAAGGATGCAATCGTTTATAGAGAAATTTCAGCTGTTTTTTCAAATCACCTAACCGGCGATCCTTCGCTGCAATCGGTATTACTGCTTTTACAGATAATGGCTTGGTAGGTCGCATCTCTTCTGGTAATGCATCTGGCCAATTTTCCTTTTCCAGAATTGAAACCAATTCATTAGCTTTCTGTTCACCATTGGGTAAATCTATTTTGTTCAGAGTAATGATCGTCGGCTTCATCACTAAAGCTGGATCATATTTCTCTAACTCTATATTCAGAAGTGCAACAGTTTCCAGTGCATTACGATACGGATTATTTAAGGATAAGTCAAGTTTGAAACCAAGAACATCAACAACCATCAATAATATATCGCTGAATTCCAGATGCTTTAGAAATTCTCTACCTCTTCCACGATTCAGTGCTGCTCCTTCTAACAAACCTGGCAGATCAGCAATTGATAAACTAAATGAATCATCATCATCGTCTATTGATTCTAATTCCGATCCAAAGTTATTAATGTAACAAAGTTGAGGTTTCAATGTTGTAAATGGATAACAGGCTATTTTGATGTTTCTTTTTGGCACCAATGCCTTCATAACTGTTGATTTTCCTGCATTCGGGAAACCAATCAAACCGATATTTGGATGAAGCTTAAGGTGGAGATCGACGAAAAACCGCTCACCAGCCGTCGCTTGAAAGCAATTCTCGGCGCAACCACCATGACCACCTCGTGCTATCACGTAATTGAAGAATGGTCGTGAACAACGTGCTATCAACATTTTAGTTTCCGCATTTATTATATCGACACCTACAGGAACCTTGAGAATTTTTGGCCTTCCATTTATACCAATGAGTGAAGTCTGTGAAGAGTTCATACCACTTTGAGCTTGCACCTTCAATACACGATGTTTAGCATTCTTCAGCATCGCTTCAAAAGTCATCTTCGAATGTCCAACCATAATCACATCACCACCATTCCCTCCAACACCATTAAATCGTTGCAATCCTTGTCCTCCATTACCTGCACGTACGAAAAGTCGTAAACGATCACGGTTGATAACTCCTTCGTTAGAAATTGTTGAAGCATACAGTTTTTGCTGCAGTTTGATCATCTTAATCAATAGTCGCATTTCATTGGATGATAATTCTAAAAAAAAAAATGCGCTTTATTCAAATACATTTATTAGCTCGACCGTTTCTGATTTTCTTACAAAAAAAATTTGTTGAAAAACCAGAGTAAAAACTATCCAACAATAATTTCACGAAAATCGAATCAAACTCGCCTCTTTAAATATTTTACTTCGAGTGACATATGAGTTGGCAAAATTAAAAGATTATACCATTCAACTTCTTGGATATGACATGTATTAAATATCACAGAATCAAATCTCAACTAACCCAACTAAATTAAATTTACCGCAAACAACCAAAAGACTGTTATCTCATGATTAGATTAACTTGTGATTTTTAATGCACAAAGATCTCAAATTGATTCCACTCCCTCAAAAATCTTCTAGTGTAACTTCCTTAACGTTATGCTAGCGTACAAGTAGGCAACCTCTATAAGTTTAAAATAATTGAAAAATGAAGACATCCAGCGATGATATTAAGTGAAGTGGAACCTAGGCAGATTTGGAAAAAATAGAAAAATTTTGACAGCAAAAATACTGAAGAAATTAAATATTTAATTTCTTTTCGTTTTTTGCATATAAAATTTTCTCTTTCCGTTGAAAACCTGCACGATTTTTTGTTTCATGGAAACACTCATACATGTTTATTTAAATACTTTAAACCATCAGCGTCAGAAATATGATGGAAGTAACTTCATAATGAGAGAGAAAAAGCTTTACGGGAAAAATATTTTTACCAGATACGATATATATATATATATTTTTTTTTTAAAAAACATCAAACATAAATGAATAAGCAAACCAAAAAATTTGCAATATCTCATTTTGCAACATTTCAATGACAAAGTGCATTTGTTTTCTGGAAAAATTGTACATACGTTACATGAAGAGATAGGAAATATACAAGAAAAATACAAAAGAATTCGGGGGAAGGAAGAACAAATACAAGACTGAATTAAATGACTAATGGAAATAAAATTCCAAACAATATACTTTTCCAGGTTTAATATTTTTGGAACCGTTTCTTTTTTTGGATGATTTTTCTACTATAACATCCTACCTATCGCATAAAGAAATGATTGGAATAAATATTTTCTAAAAGAAAAATGTATTTAAAATATGAAATAAGTTGTGCATTTTTAAAATCCTTAACAAAACAACATCAAACTTTTGTTCTTGCTTATAATTACAAGAAATTCTAATTTTGACACATAAATCTGCAAATTTTCGTATACCTAAAAACATAATTTAAAAAATCGCTATATTTAAGAAATATTTGTCTCCAATGCATGGGTTAATACGGCAATATTGATATCTGCCTCATCGGCTTCCTTTAATTCATTGAATTTTGTGTACAATCGAAGAGACAAGCGAGCAAGATCGATTGGATCGGTTTCTTCCTCATCAACTGACTCGCCTATATATTAGTGCTATTATTTCATTATACTGCCTCAAAAAAAAAAAACTGTTATAAATAACACAACCGACCTTTCTATCGTTTAGCTTTATTTTTTATAAGAATTTCCGAACAAAAATTTCTTGACTCTAAAACTTTTAAAATGATTAAAATTAAAAACTAAAAAACTACTGATTTAAAATGATCAAAATTAGAACAGAGAAAAGCTTGCCGAAGAAGTGCTGTGCTAAAGCATTTAATGAAAGCGAACGCTTGAACAATGGACGGTAAAGCAACACAATGTCTTTTACCTGTTCTTCCGATACCTACAATTTTATATAAATATATTAAACAACAAACAAACGCATAACTTAAACGCAAAAATTATGTAATAAATACTACATAATCAGCTAATTTAAAAAATATTGAGTAGAAATAGATATCGAAAGAATAGAAGATGGTAATAAAGAATTACGAATTAGTGAAATCGAGCACCATGTATTTAATTTAAAGGATAGCTTCTTCGATCAGTGAAGCAATAAATTTAAAAAAGATTGAGTAGAACAGATATCAATAAGATATCATCTTGGATACTTTAAAAAAATAAATGTGTAAAATATTTACGTGGATATTTAGCATTTCAAATAAGTGCTCAATTTTGTATCCAATGATTGTTATTTTTTCTTGAATCAGGTATAGAAGTTTCAAAGACACTCTCTTCAGCGTCTGCGAGTTATCCATATCACTCTTTATTCCTGGTTCCTTGATAACACTACTAATAAAACAACTGCCATCTTCGTCAACTGCAGAAACTTCAGATACTCTCTTTTCGCCAGCCTAAAAATTAGGATTTGTAATGAATCCATCATATATTGCACAAAATCATTCAGCATGCAGTCTACACACTTCCTAATAATGCTATGACCTTATTTAAAATAATGGAATTCATAATTTACTATTGAAATGTACTGTTAATTCACTGGTAAAGTTATTAATACAGTAACCTTAAGGTTGCATTAAATTAAACAGTGAAACGTGTTATAGGTAGTACCTCGCTGATTGCATATTTCGCATAGATCGCAACTTTACTTCCTCTTTCTGGTATTTTAATTTTGTTTGAATCCAGATCATTCCAGAATACAGACCGTGGGATTATAGCACGACTTTCATTTTTGGCAGCTGGAATTGATAGGAATGAGAAATCATTCGTTTCTTTTTGAACAGTTAAAATAAGGCCTCGAAAAAATCGATTACCTTCTTTACCACCATTTTCTCTGTCTTGCACATAATATAAGATAGCCGGTAATTTCCAGCAAGCATGTAGACGCAATGCTTCATTTTCTGAGATTCGTGTAACAGACCAACTGTTAAACAATATCCAGCAAGAATCCTTCAAGGCAAAAATATATAAACAAAAAAGAACAGAAAAAAACGAGCTAAAAAAACAAAACTATTATTTACCTGCTTTGATCTGATCGCAGTGACCAAATGTTCCTCAGTTTGCGTTTCTTCATCTTCATTGATGATAAATATGGCTGCTACCAGATGAAAGGATGTACTATTTTCCATCTTATTCTAAATTTGAAAGGTGTAAAACTCACAAATAAAAATTGTGGAAACTAATAGTAAGCTAAATCAGAACTAAAGACATTCAACTTTTTTAAATGACTCAAAAATCTCGTTACTTCCGAAACCGTGCAAATACCATCCGTTATTTTGATATGTACTGAATTCGGTATATAATGAGGACATTCGTAATATGTGGTAGTGCCTTCAGTCGTTAGTACATTCGTTTCACATTTACTGGAATGAATTTGAGGTTAGCGAAAGTCAGCTGTTCATAATGATTTCTGATCCTAATGCAGCACTTCTAAAATATGAAAGCACATAAGAGAATAACTATTCCAGTTTCCAATAAATTTTTGCGTTCGAATCTGCCATTTTAACCACATCTTCGAATGTCAGCTGAGTGATCATCATTTAAAATTCGTGAAACACGTGACTAATATAAATACCTTACAATTATCAATTTAATGTTGTTCACGAATGAACAGTAATGCATAAAATTTAGTAAATTCATTCTGCCTTGTCTTTAATTCCATCTTGCTAAGGAAAAAGAAAAAATCCAGTTTGAGTCATATACTAAAATAAACCTGTCATCATTATGAAGATACCGACAGTTTGGATTTCTGCATTCAGTACCATATCTACATAATTTTACTTTGTGTTCTGTTACTGAATTTGGCGCCGTCACCGATCGACTTTCAAATGCCTGAACAACAAAAAAATATTCAAAACTCATACCTTTACATATACAATTTCAGTTTTGTCAGCAGCAAATTATATTCATCATCTTGAATATTTTAAATGACATTATATACCTAATAAAACTTAATGTATTTCATCAATAGGTAAAATTGGAAGAAAGAACTTGAATGTGAGAAATCCAAAATGCTTGTTCTGTTTCTGTACTGGCTGTCATATCCAAAGCGAGAATGTTCGGCAGTAAACGCACACGACGTGTTGATGCGAACCGTGCTAACTTCCCGCATTTCTGGCAGATAGCTTCATTTTGTTCGGGACAGTTTAGGGTTTTTTCCAGCAACGTACAAAATCCAATTTTTTCATTACCTGGAAAAATTATTTCAAAATCATTACTTTGAATCTAAAATTTGAATTAAAAGCAGAGAAATTCAATAAAGAATGGAACAAAAACTTCAAAAGTATATCATCCTTACTTGTCGGGTATGCTAATGATATATAAAGTTGTGCGAGGGCTGACTGATAATGCTCGGAACACCGAATGCAATGATTATTTAAAGTAAACGAAATCTCCATTTCCTTGCGAAGCGCTACTCCAGCAGTAGTTTCAGAAAGTTCCTATTAATATGCAAAGAAAAGAAATCCTCTCTGAATTTATCTCAGTAATAGCATACTATTTATTTACATTATCTTTCTTATGATATATTTTATGCTTATATAAATTAAACTTAAATCATAAATGCCAAATCGTAGATACCTTATCCAATATTTTGCTGAAGACTTGCATAAATAAGCGAACTGTTTGCGCTAAACTTGCATTAGCAACTGCATCTGCCCATTTTTTACCGTCATCAATGGATCGAAAAGTCTTCATAAAGTTTTTCGCCTAGAAGTATGATAAGGAATATCAAATAACTCTGTCATTAGTATATAAGGAATATGGAATAATTACGTCATTACTAGAATTTTAGTTATTCCATACAATATGCTTATTTGTGACGACATCGAAAGCTTGTAGCCACCACAACAACTACACTGGTCATTAATCCACTAGCTATGCTGTTGAAATTAATGGCTCTACTTGCTTTGGCCGCATTAATAAGCAAGTAATGAATGCACGGATTTTTTAATAAAGTCTAGGATCACGTCTACTACGTAATCTTACCACGGCTATTACACGCATAGTTCATTCAAACTACAAATGATCAGTTTTCATTTTTTGTTTAAATATTTTCAAAATTTTTTTTTAAAATCCCACTCAGATTACTGAAAAAAGTTCATACCGATACCACACTCGACACTGGTCGATCTGTAAGTAACCGGAAGAGAAGATTCATTTCACATGAAATGCAGCTTTCCAGGTAGCAGAAATGCGAAAGAAAGACTGTTCTTACGTTCATCAGATGATACATTGCCTAAAACAAAGAAAAAAAAATAATTTCGGGAAAACGGTGTATTTTCCTTACAAATATGTTGCACTTGTAGTTTAAAAAGTGAATGATGGAAATTTATGAATTACTGGAATCCTTCTTAACGATGACTGGTAACAGTTTGAAATTAAGCCTTATGTATGCTTCTCTGCACTAGAAGGTTTCTTGAACATATCTATCGCAAGGATGGATAAATCGGAACATACAAAAATCAGAAAAATAAAATGTTTTGAAATAATCGTGAATTACAAAAATTACGAGCAAATATGAATTACAAGCAGAAGCATGCATGCGGGACTTGTTTCGACACTATTTTCTAAAGCGTTGAATTCTGTGCGATTATATCGCTTAAAATCAATTTCTTCAGCCTTAGAGGTTAACTTTCCTTCGGTACGCAAATAAAACTTCGGAATGTGAAGTATATCATCATTTTTCATTGCTGAAAAAAGAAAAAATTCTTGCCAAAACTTTAGAATATTTTTGAATAACCAAATGGCAATGCAGGAAAATAATATGGAAAAAAAAAATCTCTAAAAGCTGAGAAATCGAGTACTAGTGATAAGTGCTAGAGGAGTAATCACTTGGGGATATCAAAAAAAAAAAAAAAAGATTCCGTCACTACTATCAAAAATCCCTCGATATATTCAAGGCAGTAATATTTTAGAATCGAAACTACCATTTGAACATTTATCATGGGTAGAACTTGTATATGGACAAACGTTGAAGCCTCGCAGTGATGTACCAGCGCGAGGATTATGAGCATAACCAACAAACTGCACCATGCGCATTGAATCAATCACCTTTTCTGATATCGGATCTGGCTGTCTAAAACGGAAATGATCTTTATGTTTTCTCTCGACAAATTTCTTGGAGATATTATGTTCATCATAAGTTTAAGTTAGAAATTTCATAAAATTGTGCGAGAATACGAAGAAAATATACCTAAACCGTCTAATACATAACTGCTCAGGCCAATCTGAGGCATAGTGATCATCCACTGGAAACGGAAGAGGAAACACTCCATATGATGGCTCGGGATCGTCGATGTTAACTGGTGGATGAAAAGCAATCTAAAAAAGAATTTTTACTGCCTGAGAAAATCTCAAAAAAAAAAAAGAATTACCCACACAAGGTGCGCTGGCAGAGTAGAACTGGACGTCAAAAAAAAATAAATATGATCACCTTTTTAAAGAAGACTAGTCATCAGTTGCCTTGAATGCTTATGATTCCTAGAAATGTAGTTTGAAGGGAATATTCATTTACAAAGAGCATGTCAAAATTCTACTTACTGGATCTGGAAAATCTGTGCCCCATGAATTTTCATTAAAAATCGGTTCCATTCGATCCGAAAAGAGGTGTATCAAACCTGAACGTATATATGCAGCATTAGTTAGAGAAAGCAGAAATAGTGTTATTTTCTTGAATTATTTGACTTACGCTATCATTCCATTTTTCTCTTTTTTTTGTTTTTGTCAACAGCACTTTCTTTTTGTGAATATGAAAACAGTTTTCTTTATCTACATTCAACGTTGGTTCTAGAATTATCCAAATTTTATATTCAAAAAATTATTGAAAATCTGATTTACCTGTTTGATCACCAAAAGCGATACATTGTTTCGAAGTTGATACATCAAGAGATGTAATGGCGAAACCATTTGTATCTAACTGTATAGGCATCTGACTAGATTGCTCATTCAAATCCATTACAATCAATTCACCACTCTAAGAAAAATGGATATATCCTCTGTAGTGTTAATTTTTCGGCAATAATTTTATAGTGCTACGTACATTAGAACTGGGAAAAAATAACTGCAAAATATTTAATGACATCACTAATATTAATTACTATAAAAGTTCCACATTTAGAAAATGTATAAAAGCATACTTGAGAGCAAACCATAATCCGACCATCCGAATAAGATGGTAGAAATCTGCAATATGATGGTGCCATTGGTAAAGGTACCGGGGGCAAACTACGCAGTGTTCTTAGATCATAAATCATTATGAATCGATCACCTGCCATTTTACCCATTCTATAATAAAAACTGTGTATCAGAGTATATATCAATTTAATTAGCAGCGCACTGATTCCTTTCTGCACAGTAATACGAAAAATTACAATGGCAAATCATATGTGGTTCAAAGTTTTCTACCGATGACCAGATTCAAAAGAGTCAACGTCATTCTAATCTGATTAGTGAATGAATCACCAACCTTGGAGAGTAACCGCATGTGATTAGTTTATTGCCGCAAACATCAAAATCAGCTATTGATCCCTGATGAGCTTGCAAGGCATGGATTGCATCCACTGTTGTAAGGTGCCGGAGTGTTACCTAAAAAAATAATTTGCTTTCAGGAAACAATGATAAAGCAGCCAACAATATAATGTAGAGTGAAAGTACAACAACTTAGTGAATATTCGTGGATTGTTGGTACAATCAAAGAATATTTCATAATATTCCTCTCTATTAGAAAACAATACAAATAACAAAAGAAAAAAATGCCAGCTGAAACTTACGTTTCCCTCCGAGTCAGAACTAAATAAAAATTTTTGATTTGATCGCAAAGCCAAGCAATTTTTCTGTTTAACAGAAACCTGAAATTAACATTCCCATCAAACTTTTCAGAAAAAATTTAGTCATATTTCCACGATTAGACTTCTAGCGATCAGCTCACTTAGCCCAATTTATTTTTCATAATGAAATTCAGTGTTGAAATTAAAAAAAAAAAAACATACAATTCGTATTTCTTTTTGTGTTTCCACATCAAACTGTATGATTTGTTGCTGATTACCACCCAGCAGTAATTTATGTGGTACATCCGAAAGTCGATGCATACAGGTAAGATCAGTCATATGATCGGACCTATAAATCAATCCATATTTCTGCGCTATTTCTGCTAGACAATAAATTTATGTGACCAAAGAATTTTTCAAATGAATAACCTGAATATTCACAAGCCTATTCATATCATTAATAACAACATGACTGCAACGGCAATGAAGCTGACGAGTAACTTTAGAAGACTCGATATAAATTACTGCAACATCGGTTTTGTAAATAGCATTCAATAAGTTTCTGTGATTAAGGAATTCTTTAAACGAATAATTTAAATAAAAGCTTACATATGTGTAAATAACGAAATGCCTTGTCGACGGTTAGCTCTTAAACGCTTGGATGTTAGTGAGAAAATAACAGTTTCTGAAGCAAGCAAAGCACGAATGTTTGAATTAGTTGACGATAAAAATGCTGTGTACTTGTCAAGTTGTGCACCATAAAACGACACCACGCGTCCCTGAAAATCATGGAAATGCATAAAGTACTAAAATAGTTTAAATTCATCCACTACAAATTTTGTTTCATATCTTATGAATAACATTTTGATCAGCTTTACATTTCTGAACTGAACTGATTCAAAGCTTCATTGCTACTTTTCCCAACGATTGAAAGCAAACATGCCTTGAACATGAATGGAAGGCCTAATATTCATTATTTTAACGGGAATAGTTATTTTAAGAGTAATATCAAAGCAATCATGTTAAGGATGGTAACAGAATAAATTTAAATACAAAATCTGAGAATTTTCACAATCATTTTCAAAAAAAATCAATTACTGTATTATTGCCAGTCCAAAGAAGTTCCTGGTATGGATCAAATGTAAGTGCTGTAATGAAATGTGCAAGTGCTGCATTCTGTGATGTTGTTGACAGCAATGCGAATCCACCTTCTGGAATACGAGCTTCGTTATTCTGAAACAACAATTATTGGTAAAATTTAAGCACTCCCTTCAGTTTTTTTTTTTTTGAATGCTAAATTCTAAAAGTTTATGGAAAAATGATTCGCAAAGATCTAAACTTAATCTAAACTGTATGATAAATAGATTTAAATATTTTACTCTTAGCTCTTTATGAAATTTCACATTTTATGAACTTATGAAACGTAACATGAAGTTTTAAAATGTTTTAAATTGGTGTAAAACTCAAACCATTGATGTAAGACCATCCGCAGATATTAAGACATTTTCGCTATGTCCTGGTGATGAACCATACATTCGCATCTACTTTCAAATTTTCCCCCGTAAAATGGGTTAACCTATAAACAGCATTATTTCCGCCTTAACCTGATGCACTCCGTCGATCACTTATTTCACTGGCTAAACTGGGTAATTCAGTGCGAAGTTGTTTCAATAGCAATTTTGAGTGCGACAAATTTGCCTCTCTGTCATTTTTCACTCATGTCCTTAATCCTTTCACCCATTAGCAATCTCTACTGTCTCTTCTCTTGCAACAAACACTAAAATCTTAGCAATCATTGCTATCTCCATATTTCCAATGTTATATCTCACTTTTTCTCATTATCAAAACATTAAATGTTTTTCTGCTAATATCATTAACTTTTACTACTTCTCTTCCCTCTCCAACAAAAGTTAGTCTCAATCTCGACTGTCCTATTCTTCTCAAATCCTACTACTAGTGTCCCCGCTCCTCAAATCCCTCAAAATGATTTCAAACTATGCGAGACCTAATTTGTGGGTTCAGTGACAAGTAGCTAGGTAGTCTTATTTTGGCAATTCTCATTTTTCTTGAAAAGTTTCGATGCGGAATTGTCATATTAAGACGAATGTTTCCAGAAATTAATTGGTTGTCTCATCTGGTTATATTTTCATTTTCACTTCGTTTCTGTGCTTTTTTTTTATCAGTGATTTTGCATTTTCTATTCTAAAATTATATTTTATATCTTGACTTGTTTCTTCATTCTAATTGAAATATTTTGATTTTTATGTTCCATTCAAATCTTAATTATTTCAATTCAGTTAATTGATTTAATTCATCATTGAATCAAACGAGTTCAGTGCTTTGGAGAGCCTATATACATACATTCTCTTCTTTTAATCTCAATGGAAATGCTTTTTCCTTATTTTTATTTATTAATTTAATTTAATATTAACATCAAGTTAATATTGAAAGTATTTTTTTTTCTCTTCCTTATATTTTGCTTATTAAAGTGCTGAGCTAAGCATGGAAGAGAGTAAAGACCGACTAGTCTTAGTACGTTTTTTTTTTTTTAATGTCTAAATTTGATAAACATTGAAAACGATGATTACTGGTTGATCCTTAAAATAGAATGTTTATTTCATTTTAGCTATCTTGCTAGGATTTGAAATTTCAAGTTTGCCAGACACGTTTTGTAGCTTTTGAAATCGCTGTGATTTTATGTTTCAACTGTTTTCTGACTAAATTGTCGCAAAGGCCAGCGCTTCGAGTTTTATCAGTCGTTTATTCCATCATGTGATGATATGTTGTAATGAAAGTGAAATAAATTTTAAAATGTATGCAAATGTATCAGTGTTCATTACGTAGATTAATGAACAGGATTAGTGTTGCCTTATATTTTCTTTAATTCAAATTTCATTCAATAAGTCGTTCATTGTTATCTATAGCCCCTTTTCGTTTTCTCGTTTTTTTTTTTTTCAAAATAATTTTGAGATTCAATAAATTAATAGAGACAAACAGTTTTTTTTTTTTTTTTGTCATTCTTTTCTGTGAACAAAATTGAATTAGTGACATTGACGCTACACACCATATAATTTACATCGGTATTTTGTTCTTTAATATCCCAATCATAAATTCCGAATCTAATTTATTTCTGACAGAGTATCCTTAAGTAATATCATGATTACAGGATGACAACTTGTAACAGTGTTAGCTGTGGAATTCGAAAAGATCTAAAATTAGGAATGTTTCATTCCATTCACTGATTTCATTACTGATTTATTCAGAAAAAAAATGTAATATTGATTGGGGACATCAGGAAATCACAGCTACAAATGTATTCCTGAAATAATTGAGGCTTCCTGCAATGTTATACCCAGTGTTCTTCTCAATATGAAAATTATAACAGAGTATCAATTTCATAGAATTTCTGAATAATACAGAAGGATATAGGGGACATCTAGATATAAAAATGATGTAATATATTTGTCTCTCCGTGATTTCCAAAGTTTTACCTTACGGAGGGGAATTGTGTAATGCGAAGTTCTGCATGTGCCAGATCTGGTGTTAATGAAACACTAAGTCTGTGATAAATTCTGCAAAAATGAATGAAAGAATTTTGAGAAAAAATGAAAAAATCACTTTATGAGATCTGTAACGTTATTCTAGTTCTAATACACGTAAAAAGATAATGTATTATGTATGTAAGATGAATTTGTAAGATTAAAAACAAATATTATTTATCATTGAATGAATACGTTTATCTTTAAGAATTTATGTGCAATTAGAAATAACTATCGTTTATTTGCTTGGAAATGATTAATTCAAATTATTGAACGTAGACGATTCTCTCTCTATCGTTTTCTCTCCCTCTATCTATCTACCATCAATAAATTTAGAGACTTTTGTTGTGTGTGTGTGTGTATGTATGTATACGTATGTATGTGTATGGATATTGAGGGTAAATAATATATCAGTGTAAAGGTATGTTTCCCTTTCTCATCGTGATTTCAGTGAATGAAATTTCAGGTTGACCATTGAAATGCAGTAATGATAGGTAGTATTATCAAGTTGAGAAAGAGAGAGGGAGAGAGAGAGAGAGAGAGAGAGAATCGTAAAAGAAGTTTTTATTGTATATGAACGTGGGTGCTGTTACGGACTCTTCCGCTTCGATACATTTATCTAATTATTTAACCCTTTCTCACTCACAGCTACCGAAATAGATAGATGGGTGATGGACGCCTTTGCAACTAACTCTCTTCTCGATGTGTAATATCAACAATAGCAATAGCAACACTACTAGCAACAGCAGTAGTAGTAGCAGTAGCAGGCATCCTGGCAGAGTATGATTTGACGACTGGTTGTGGTGGCAGCAGACATCATCCAAACGATCAACAGCTGGCACTCTCGTCCATTCAATGAAACCTTGTAAGCTGTAAGGAGAAGAAGCATCTGTAAAGGTATGTATTTCTATCTTTCACTTGCAATTATAGCACATCATCGTACAATTGTCATTTCAATCTTTTACATGAAATTTTACAACATCCGGCAAAAATCAGTCATTTTTTTTCTCTCTCCCTCTCTCTCTTTCTCCCTCTGTCCCACCCGTTTCTTTCTCTCTTTCCTTCTCCTGACCTTTTTGATTTCTCTTCTATCGTTTGTTTAGTCTTATTCATTTCTTTGGAATAGTTTTGTTTTAAACGAAGTGTACTAAAATATTTTTAACAGTGTTTTTTAGATTTTCATCTGTATAGCATTTTTGAACTTTTCTTCTCACTTTTTATTATTAAATTGTTGCTTTTGCCTTCTAAAAATTTCTCTTTTTATTTTTAAAATTTTGTTATATTACTGAATTTCAACTACACCTCTCACAATTCTCTGCTAGACTTTTGATTGTCTTTGATGGTCTTCTACTGAAGATATTATGATAAACATTATCACTGATTATTTTTACCGTAACTACGAGATGCAATTTTTTGCGCTAGCGGGTCTTAGCTTACACTTCACCTTTTTTTATTTTGCAGTTTAAATTATTGTACAATTATTTATTTTAGTTTTCTTTATATTTATATTTGCATTACTTCAATCCGTTTTCTTTTTCTCATTTTTTTTTCACTTTTTTGCTGCATACTTGTTGCATGCGAGTTTATCAATTTTGATTCACTTCACTAATGTTAACTTTATATCCAGATATTAATATTGACTCAGTTCAGGGATATCTGTCAATTTTCGAAACAGTTATGTCAGATTTTATATTTTTATTTATAAATATCTAGATAGGGAAAGCATTTTGAATATTTATCATTTTTGATATCCAGAAAATCTCAACTACAGTTTTGGAAGTTGAGGATTGAACAAGGCACTCGATTCGATCTAGGAATATTGATGAGTCAGAATATTTAAGCTGGAAAGATTTCAGATACTTTGAAGATTAGAAAATTGCAGTATATGAGAGAACTGAAGTAGAAATGAAAATTAGTCTGTTGCTAGGTAATCTTATGTAGTACTTATGTTATGTATAAAATGCACAGAATAATTTTACATCATAAATTTCGAGAAAATTTCCGCTTGAGAAGATTTAACAGTGATTTACTGGAGAACTCTAAACTTATTATTGGTGGAGCATCAAATTAAAGTTTCGTTATCTGCCGATTTCAAGATTTTCACATGATTTTATGTTATCCCATGATGGTTGGTGGTTCTTCATTATGCAAAATTGTTTTATATTTGAAGTTATTTTAGCTTTACAAAACGTACCATTCTCCCAGATGGAGTGTTTTTGAACTTTTTCTGTTCCTGAATTTCCAGAGATTTGTCCAATATTAAAAGATCCGAAAGGTTTATGAGATTTGAACTGGTTGTTCTATATTACATATAACTTAATAGAGCTTTGTAAAAAATTATGACGATTGAGGACGCATTTTTTATCTCATCGATCCTGCGATGCGACTATAGCGAATATTTCTGATTTTTAAGGTTTTAAATTTAAAAAGTTTTCAGTCATAGTTTTCAGGTTTTGGCTGTACAAAAGCTTGCCGTGCTTTCCGCACGGCTCTCACGTCATATCCAGCGTCTTTATGTGTAAGTGAATACCGCTATCACCGGTACTTATTAACCACGTTGGATTATTTGGAATAAAGTAATCGTATTACTTTTTTAAAATGTCTCTTTCGAGTAACTACCATTCACATAAGCCAAATGTGCCCATTATAATGGAAGATGTATTTGGTTGGGTGCGTGAGGGTAATACGTTTCAAGTGCGCGTATGGCTTGATGATACCGAACACGATCTCAATATTGGGTAAGTTTACGGCTTTATTTTGTCATTAATTAAAACAAATAATGTCATGTTTTTTACCTAACTTTTTGATTATAGATTTATAAAAAGTTTCATCTTTAATAAATTAAATAAACTAGACAAGTGCACTTTATCAAGAACAGTGATATTTCCAACATGGTTTTTCCTTCACTTAAATATCACATACATAATTAGCGCTTCAATTTTAACTATTCAAAGTTCTATTTAATTTTTAGTTTTACTTTTTAATAATATACCATTTTTTTTCTAGCGACGATCACGCATTTTCACTGCTTCACTGGGCATCCAAAGAAGGACATGTTGCAATTGCTGAGTTGCTACTTTCTCGAGGGGCACGTGTAAACGCGACAAATATGGGTGATGATACAAGTTTACATCTAGCTGCAGCTCACGGAAATCGTGAAATTGTTGTGGTACGTTCATATTATTTTTAAAATTAGAATTATGAATCTCTTTAGTGTTATTAACACTGTTCAAAATTTAAATGTGAGTTTTGTTTGTTTCCTGAAGTGAGTTTTGGATCACTTGCTCCATAATTTTTTCTTTTTGCTGTATCATATTTTCATTTTCCTTTGTTCCCTTTTCTCTTTCGTCTTATTTTTCGCGCCTTTTATTTCCAGAAATTACTTAATCGGAAAGCAGATGTGAACGTTGCAAATGAACACGGAATGACGCCTCTTCATTACTCGTGCTTTTGGGGTTACGTGCAGATCTGCGAAGTAAGAAAGTGAACTTTGAACTTTCTAATGATTTAAAAATTGTCCATAATTTCATTAAAGATCATTTCATGAAATTCATCAACTAACAAAAATGGCATTGTCAGAAGGAAAGTACTTTATCTGCTTGGATTTTCACTATCTGAAGTGTTTTATTTATTACTAAAAACTATAAAAAAGGATATTTATTTTTACTAAAAACGTATTTAGTTTTATTAGTTTTATTTCGGATCTTATCGGATCTTATTTTCCAGGATCTTATCCGAAGTGGTGCTCTGATAGGAACTTGCAATAAAAAAGGACAAACACCACTTGATATCTGTCAGCCACAAGCTCGTAATGCGGTTGTAGGTCCGTCGATTGTTGACTTCATTGCTGATTTTCAAGTGTTTTAGTGTTTTAATAAACTTAAATTTCAACAGTGTCAGCTTTCCCAACGTTTTAAATATTTTTAATTACAACATTTACTTATCGTATCTAGAAATTGCTCGAGAACATGGACAAAATATCAATGAAAGAACCCCATTCAAAGATCAAACATGGAAAGGTACAAAAACGCGCACTAGAGATGCAACACTTTCAAGGTTGGTTTCGCTCCCATTTTTGAATCTAATAAGTTTGATGAAGCTTATCATATATTTTTTAATACATATAGTGTTGCAGGTACACAGGTGTTGATATGGCATCTTTAAGTCTATCGATGAAAATAGCCGAATCTCATAGTGGTGAACTGTGGCGTGGCAAGTGGCAAGGAAATGATATCGTGGCTCGAATTTTAGCAGTACCTGAAGTAACTCCACGTATCAGTCGTGACTTTCAAGCTGAATTCCCTTCGTTAAGGTTGCATTCCTTCCACAACGCATTTATTCTCTATTACTTTGGTTGATTTTCATAGTTTCCATCTTTTCCATCTGTGTCAACTTACTGCAATTTGAATGAAATCGTCGTTGTAACAAAATACATCATATTTGTCGCCTTAGTATATTGGTCTACATTTCCAAAAAAAAATTTTGTTTCAGAATCTTTGCTCATTCAAATATATGTCCTGTGTTGGCATGCTGTAATCAACCACCAAATCTTATTGTTATCAGTCAACTGATGTCATTTGGTTCACTTTATAATGTTTTACATGAACAGACAGGTATAGTAATATTTTTTTGTTGTACATTCAAAAAAGTTTATTAATATTCTTCGTTACTTTTGATTTTTTTGTATTATTAAAATATTTCGATTTGCTAAGTTCATGAATTGTATTCAAATGTCCGATCACTTTTGGAGTAGCCCTTTTCTATATTAGCTTGAGATGGTAATTGCCAACATTTTAAGGAAATTTCAAATTCTGTAATTTATTTTTTCAATATTTCAGCGGTTGTAATCGATCAGGCGCAAGCGACAAAATTTGCTTTGGATATAGCACGTGGCATGTCATTTCTTCATTCATTGGATCCATTAATTTTGAGGTATTATCTGAGTTCGAAACATGTTGTGGTTGACGAAGATCTATCAGCAAAAATTTCAATGGCCGATACAAAATTCAGCTTTCAGGAAGTAGGCAGGCTATATTCTCCGGCATGGATGTCCCCGGAAGGTGAAAATTCCATTCTTATTTAGTTGTTTGGATTTGATTTATCATTTTATTTTTTCCTTCTTTCAATGTAGTATTTGACCCACAATTTTATCATAACCAGCGCAAGCACTCATCAGAAAAATCGTAATCATGAAAGGTTTATCTAGTTTAACTTAATGAATTTTAAAAGTTAATTGCGGATTTTTTTTTTTTTTTTTTGCAGTTATTTTAAACTCGTCGATAATTTGTTCTTTTTTTTGTAGCACTTAAATATTCACCATCAGATTTAAATATTCGAGCAGCTGATATGTGGAGTTTTGGTGTTTTATTGTGGGAATTGAATACCCGAGAAGTGCCATTCTCAGACCTTTCGCCAATGGAAATTGGAATAAAGGTTGGTTATGGTTTGATTAATAGGGGTGTTGGATAAGGAAAAGAAATTAGGGAAGAAAGACGGTGGCTTGTTATTAAATCCAGAATGTATTGAATTTAATTGTTTTAGAGAGGAATCAGTTTTGAAGCTTTAAAAGTTTAAAATTTGAATTAGTGAAGAAATTAGTGTGTTAAAGAATTTATCAGTCTTTGAGTGCTACTATGGTTAAACAACATGTTTGACGTATTTCTTGGAAAGTGCTTTTATCTAAGTCATTTCCTGTGAAAAAAATTTTTAAAGCATAATATTGTTTTTCTGACTGCTTTAATCATTTCCTTTTTGCAGTTTTTTCTGCCGCCTAACAATGGATTTTTGTTTAAGAGACTTTTTTTTTTGGTTTCTTTATTTTTTTCTAAAAACAAAAAGAAACTAAATTTGGAGGAGTATTGAATTTCGTAAATTTCGAATTTTTTGAACTGCAATTTTTTTTCCAGATTGCACTGGAAGGATTACGTGTCCCATTTCCTCCTGGAATATCACGAAATATGGGGCGTTTGATGAACATTTGTTTAAATGAAGATCCTGGTCGACGACCAAATTTCGACCAAATAATACCAATATTAGAAAAAATGGCTCAATCATAATTTGGATTCCTATATATAATTCTAGTCAAAATTGATCTTGGGATTCTCGTCATATAGAGTGGTGCTCCTTTTTCTGAAATAAGGATCAAATCTTAGTGTTATTGTTGTTGTAATTCATCTGGAGCGAAGAGCTTTTATACTGCCATAAATGATCATTTTTCGTAATTAAAAACTTTAGCATGAGACGATGATCACGATAACAACGTTTACTTAACACTGTTAACTTTTCTCCAGCTGGGATAGTTCACTATTAAGGATGGACCAATCTTTGAATAAAATTTTCCTGTAATTTGATTTTGAAAACTTGCATATTTATTCTTTACCATTCATCCTTTCATCTACCATAATTTCTAACCATTAGTATAAGCTGTGTAGTATTGGAAATTTTTTTTAATATAGTCATCAGTTTTTTATCCGATGTGAATACTGCTTATTTTTTTTTTCTTTTTTTTTTTGTTTGTTTGTTTGTATAGCTATAAAAGAAATGGAGGTGGAGAAATTTCCGGTTCTTTCTTTTAGGAACGGTGAGCTGACTGTGTTTCATAAAAAAGTTTTATGACTAGAAAAACTTGAAAGAAGTGGAATTTCTAGAATTTGGTGATATTACTAAATAAATGCATCTTTTTTCTTGCTTGATTTTATTCAGCAATGCTATATCATATTTATTTCATATATTTTGTATTTATTATAAATTATATGGTGCTTCGATTTTTTTTTTTTCATTTTTGAAATTTGAATTTTTAATGAGTTTTTTATCGAATCACAACTAGTCAGAATTGATTTTAGCATTTTTCTAACAGATGCAAGAATGTGGGAAAGGGAAATAGTGGAGACTTATTTTTGAAAGCTACAGTTAAATTTTTACTTAAAAAATAATTGCAAGGTCTTCAGGGTTGTTTCTCCACTTTTTTCACTCCTTATCTTCTTGACTGTTATCTGTGTTAAAATGCTTCATCATACTAACTTCGTTTTGAGAAAATGTACTCTATAATTTATCTATTATTTTGTTATTTTTTGTTTAGGATTTGTTCATCTAATAAATTTTTAAGTTGCTGCAAAAAATTTTGCACTGCACTAGTAAATATATAGAAGGAAAAAGAATGGAAAAAATAAGTCTTAAACTAAAATTTTCAATTTAGAAGTCAAGAAAAATGAAAATCATTCAATAATTCTTTCTTTTTTTTCCCGATAAAAATTTGGTATAGTGACGATGAAACATTAGTAAAAGATGCATATATAAATTTATTGATGAAATTTTTATCAAACCTATTTAAATTAAATGGTGAAAATTTAGAAATTAAAAATTAACTTTATCTTAATAGTATTATATGATGTGGAATAAGTTAAAATGAATTGTAATTTCAAAAGATTCATTCATGCGTATCGTTAGATCAGTCTTAGTCTAATGCAATATTATTTGAAAGTTGGTAGGATAATAGGAATAGTTAAAGAATGGGTATTATTAGTGTAGAGGAGAAAGCTTCTCAAAAATGATAGCTCATTCATTGCTTAGTATTTTGCTCATTTTAAAAGCTTCATTTTTCTTTTTCATTCTTTTCATAATACAAATTGAAGCTATTCTAAAAATATTTGCAAATTTAGAGCATTCATTGCAATGATATTAGTATTTTCTAATTTTGCTTGCATTATTATCAAATAATTATTATTATTAAATTAGAATAATAAATACTTTTTTTTTTTTTTGATTTAAAAACAACGATACCTTCTTAGCGACAAAAAAAGAGAGAAAAACAATAACAAATCATTAGGCTGAAAATTTTTCATTGTTTTTTTCTTTTTTGAACTATTAAAAAATTTTTTTTTCCTATAAATCATAAAATATCTCTGTTTTATTTGCAAATCATTCATTAAAAATTTTTCATAAAAATATTTCAGTATTTCATGCATGAAATGTATGTTATACATTTAACAGAAATTAAAATAATATTATTTAGGTGTGAATTTTGAACAAGTATAAGTGCATTTCTTAGATTTTATAAAAAATTACTCAAATTATCATTATAATGTTATCTAATATTTATTATTTTTTATTTCCAACATATTATATTATTAAAAATATTTAAGTATGAAATTTAAAATTTAACAATTATTTAAACAATTCGTTCTTTTTTCTTTTATTTTTGTTTGTTTCTAGTATATAATAATATAAAGTTGGAGAAAAAAATTCATTCATTAAAAATTTTTCATAAAAATATTTCAGTATTTCATGCAAGAAATGTATGTTATACATTTAACAGAAATTAAAATAATATTATTTAGGTGTGAATTTTGAACAAATATGGAAAGATGCCATTTTTGAAGATTGATTTCTCAACGCATGATTCAAATAGTCATATTCAAAAGCATTTACGTGCTCAGGTATATATATACATTTTATGAAATTTCAATTTAATCTTTTTTTTTTTTTTTTTTTTTTTTTTTTTTTAATTGTATTGGTTAAAAATATTTTGTGATTATTTCTTAATTATTTTTGAAAACAAAAAATATTTCACATTAATGGAATTAGTTGTGAAATAAATTAATGATTTTATAGTAAAATGAAAAATAAAAAGAATGAATGATTAATTTTTTTTATAGAATTGAAAATTATAAATTTACATTAAATTATTTTAAAAATTTTTAAGTTCTCACGTTACTTCTGGCCAGCACAATTAGTTCTTGCATTACTTTGTTGTCGATTTACTTGCCTCAGACAAAAAAATAGACGGCGTAGTTGGATAGCCGAATGTCATATGATTTTTATCATTTTTTTCTTAATCATCATATTACTGATTACAACTGTACAATTTTGGTATGACGTACGAACGACATCTGCGTAAGTCTTTTTTTTTCTGTCTATTGATATTATCAGTTATCAATTATATCATTGTTTGCAATGATTATTACAATTTATCATCTTCTTTTATTACCATTAAATAATATGAATTTGCCATGAATTTGTGGTAGAAAATTTCAGAAATCCACCAGAAATAGCTGTATCAATTTTACAACTACAAGGAGTCTTGAATTTATGTTTTTTGGTTTATTGGGATATACACTCAGTTGGTGACAAATTGCGACAACGTCTTCAAGCCACATCAACTGGTATTGGTGTCCTAAGGCGGAAATCATTGTTGGACAATATTCATGTAAAAATTTACCTTTTATTTATTGCAAATAATTTATTTATTATCACAATGAAATATAACAGAAATAACTGCATAAGAATTACTTGTATAATTCAATTGATAGAAATTCGATGGATCATTAGATCTGTTCAGGAGTGATCGGTCATTTTCTTCAAATCTAACATCAAATAATGACCAGTTTAAAGATTCAGTAAGAACTGAATTGATGACATTCAAGAATTATTAACTTTCTATGTTTTATTAATTTATTACTCTTTGTAAATTTATTTGCAAATAATAAAGTGAAGTAATCTGTAAACAAGTAGACGAAACGAAGTAAACAATGACAAATAAATATGAGCGAAAAGGAAGTGTAAACAAAAAGTAAACAAAAATCATCAACAATTCCTAGTATAAACAATGCAACAATCTTATTACTTTATTTGTTCTTCAGCTTGGTGCAATCATATCTGGAACTATTATTAGTGTATTTATGATAATTTATCAAATTTTACAAATAATTGCCAATAATTATTCACCAATTGTAAAAATTCCATTAAATATTAATTTGTCGCATTATTTTCATTGGCTTTTTGTTGTTATTTTTATTTACGTTGCATTCTCCTATCCTGCTGTTTACACTGAAGTATACAGTTTAATTAGTATTATTTGTGCTGAATATCGTGCATTAAATGATGATTTTGCAAATGATTGCAATACCTACCAATTACCTGTAATTAGGCATTATGTCGCCGCTCATTGGACAATGTCACAATCACATGCACTATTTGGTCGATCACTTAGGTAGGTGTGAAATAATATTTTTGCTGGTAAGTATTCAAATTTTAATCAAACAAATGAATTTATTTTTTGAAATAAGTAATAAAACATTTAGTTATGACTACATACCACATATAAGTTAATTTATTAAGTATTCAACCAGTGATTTTTTTAATTATTTACTTTTTACCAATGAAATGTGTTATTTATATAAATTAAATGTTTTAGTAATTCTTGTAATAAAAAAACTATCATAAAAAGTCTTTTTTTTTTCTTTCATGATTTTTTTTTTTAAATTTTTTTAATGATAAACTATCATTTAACAACAAATTTTACAAATAAACTTTTGAAAAATGCATTATATTATTCAAATGAAATATTATTTATTTACTATTTTTTGTAATAAATTTATTTTGAATCATTTCAAATGATATTTCTAGCTTATGGATGAGCTTTCATCTGTCAACTTCAACACTCTCTTGCATATTTCTTCTACGATCCGTACCAATTCTCATCGATCAATTATTAGCATTGGAACCAGTTATTGTTGCAGTAATAGTTTGTACCGTATTTCTTATTGTAATTGTTATCTCACAGATTATCTCTTCTCTAGTAACATCCTTATTACTTTATCATGATATGACACATTTTCGTTATCTGCTAATCGTTCTCATTGCTGGCACTAGCGCTCTTCAAGAACAGGTAATTAAAATTTTCAAAAATTATATTTAAATTTTATTTCCTTCCACCATTTCTCATAGTCAAAGCCTATTTATTTATTTATTTATTTATCTGTTCGTTTATGTAATTACCTTTCAAATAAATTACCGATGTTTCCATAAAATTAGAAAATATCTGAGATGAATATTTTATTAAAATAAATAATAAATAATAGAATTTATTCTATTTTCAGACATACTCTGTAGCAATAGCATATATTAATCATTTATATCGAAGTCGTTTAGGTATATCATTCTTCGAGATTACTGTTATTGATAGGAGATTTATTGAAAAGGTATGAATGGATTAAATTTCAATTTGGATTTTTTTATTTCTGAAAAGATAAGAAAGTATTTTGGTAATAAATAGGATAAAGTAATTCTTATAAGATGCATAGACTTTTTTTCTTAACTTTCATCCTATCAAATAAAATGTTTGATATCATAAGTAATAATAAAATAATATAAACTTATTGTTTCAGACTGCAACTATTGTGCTTCTTCTCACCGCTATATATTATTTCAATAATTATGATAAACATCCAATTCAGAGTTGTAGTAAGACAATCTCTGCGGTACAAGATGCAACCTAAATCTGTAAATTTTATGAAATCAAAGTATGACAAGTCTAGATGAGGAAAGTTAGTCATAGTGGAGATATTTAAAGTTGCAGAAATTTTCATCAAGTGATAATTTTTATTCATATTTGATTGATTTTATTTGTTTATTTAATTTGAATAATAAACAATAAATAATGGCTGTCTTAATCAGAAAATAAAGCATTAAATGATAGTTATTGATTAAATTGCAAATTTGAATTGATATTGAATAAAATTCATTAAAATGTCAACAAAGAAATAAATATTAAATAATTAAGCAGTAGAATTTCACTTAGTTGTCTTTAACCTTTTATAATTTTCAATAACTGTAATATAACTTACTTTACATTTATTTATCATTCTCTGACTAATTATACAAGAAAAACAACTGAAATATTGACGCATTTTATGATAAATTAATTTAATTACTTTGAATAATTTACAATAATTTGTGTTTTTAAATTGTTAGCTTATATATTTTCCAGCAATGTTAGCAGTGTTAGTGTTCTTTTTTCTTTTTCTATTTGATAACAATTGCTTTTAACTAATTTTATTGTGTTGCATTTGATATTATATAACAAACAATGAAATTTGCTTTTGCTAATTTCCATAGTTTAATTTTTTTTTTTTTTCGAACATATATAATCCAATTTAATTTAATTCTTTTTTTTCAGCTATTGACATGATAGAAAGAACAAAAATTTTGTTTTGTAGAAATAACAAAAGAGCCATAAATAACAACAAAGAAAAATCAATACAATATGTCCAACGAAGGATTTATATTAAAAGAAAACAGATTTATTTGTTACACAAAGAACTTTTATCATTCATTTTCAACATTAATCGTTTCAATTTGAAAAAAGTGTATGTGTGTGTAACAATGTATACGGAATTCGATAACTCGAAGCAATAGCTAAAATGAATGTTAAATTTAATTTTGCTTTAAATTTGTCATTTATCATAAATGTAAGGTAAAAAATACCTTACAAACAAACAGGTATGTCAACTGGTTGCGATGATACAATATCACTGATTCCTGCTATACATTCTGTGTTTCATTTTTTGAATACCACATGATAATTAATATTGACAAAAAGAAAAAAGAAAAATAGCAAATTAAAATTCAGAATTCAACTTAATCTTTATTTGATATCTATTATTTTAGATGTTTTAAAGATTAAATTTTGTCTTCTATTTGATATTTTACAACTTTATCAGTTTAACATAACTTTTACACCTTGAAGTAATCTTTTTTAATAAAGCAAAAAAAGAGAGGAATAGCTATTCCAACTATCGAATAACATTACAAATGTTATAATAAAATAAGAAAATGTTGATCATATGAAGTTTCTCGTTAGCATTGTTTGCTTCGGGAAAATTTTACCCAACCGGGAAGAGATATTAGGAAGATAAGTATTCACTTTGACTACATTATCTTACATTTCTCTTACTACATCGTGCACAATATATAGTTTTCATCTCTTTCTCTGCTCGTGCTATTTTGCACATTACCCCATCGTCTCTTTCATTTTATTCTCATTTGTATCCGAAGTTTACTAGCATTTCTCAGCTACAGATGTTTGACTTTCTCTTCTAGTGCTCTGGGGGAGTGAGTTAGAGTAGGTTATATGGCTAAAGCCAAGTCTAGTCATAAGGTAAGTCTGGCTATTGTAAAGAAATAAGCCAGGTTTATTTCAGGTAGTAAATTTTAAGTGCGCTTTAAAGTAGTCCAAATGTCGGGTCGAGGCAAAGGAGGTAAAGCTAAATCATCAGCCAAAGCTAAGACACGCTCTAGCAGGGCTGGTCTACAATTTCCCGTTGGTCGAATACATCGGCTTCTTCGCAAGGTTTATCACATTTCTTCTTGTTCCATTTAAAGTGTTCACAAAATGCTAGCAAGTCTGGTAGTGTTGACCGATAGCTGAATACAATTAGAGTTGAGACTAACCTTCCTTACCTGTCCGTAACTTTTTTCTCTCTTTCTCTTTGCATATATTTAGCTGCTCTGTTGACTTCTATTAAGTTTAGTTCAGGGAAAATATTTCAACTTTCCTCATATTTTTGGATCTTTCTTAGTGAGAGATTTATTTAGGGAAACTATGCTGAACGTGTTGGCGCTGGTGCTCCAGTGTATCTAGCAGCGGTATTGGAGTATCTTGCCGCAGAAGTGCTCGAATTAGCGGGTAATGCTGCTCGTGATAATAAAAAGAGCCGCATCAATCCTCGTCATCTACAGTTAGCCGTACGTAATGACGAAGAACTAAACAAACTTCTTTCTGGAGTCACTATCGCTCAAGGTATCGCGGCGTTTACCCGATTGAACAAAATTAGCACGCTTAATGCTTACAGTAGTATTATGTATGCAGTATGATTTTTCCTGAAAAACCTTTGAAAACTTTCGTTTCTTCGAAGACTTTCGTCTGTGATAAGTTTTGTTACCTTCATGCAACTTCAGGTGGTGTGCTGCCGAATATTCATGCTGTTCTGCTGCCAAAGAAGATTGCGGGTGATAAAGAATGAAAATATAAGTTCGGTGGAAAATTGATGAGTTTATTGATTTCCTTTTTTAACAGTGTTTTATTAAGAAGTCTTTTTGATATCCCTGTGCGATCTATTTTACGCAAATTGCTAAGTCAGTAACTCCGCAACATTTCGATTTTTCCTTTTCAGCTAATATTTAGTTATGAAATTCCATGTCTGTTCAGCGTATCTGTACATTAATCTGTGGTTCTTCTAATAAAACCATTTTTTGGATATTTTGGTCTTGTTCTTCACTTTTTTTGCAGATATTAAAACCATAATATGGCTATCCCGTGCATAAAAATTTTCAGAGTATCTATCCAACAAGTAACTGGTTTTCTTTATGAATGTGAAGCACAAGTAAGAAAATGTGCTAGTTTGGAAGCAATTTTAAGGGGACTTTGTTTGTTTGTTGGTTTTGAATACCTCCCGGTTATTAGTGTTCTATTTTCGTAGTACCTAGAAGATTTCGGGAAAATTGGTTTATAGTTTTAAGGTCCCGTAGAGAAGAGTTGATGTTCGTCGCGGCATTTCTGTTGCATGACACATGGCTCGTATTGCAACAATTCGAAATCAAATAGGAGAAATAAGCAGTGACGAAGCGTTGCAAAATGATTTAAAGATTGTAAGTTAACTCAAATTTTATTTATTAAAAGTTACCGTCCTATCCAATGTTTTGGAGTACCTTTGCTGTGGAACATTTTCTGGATTATTTTTGCTTGTCTGTAACCATTTTCTTAAGTTGCCGTCGAATTATAATTTCGAGATTCCAAAAACGATTTGGAAAATTCGAGCTACAAAGAGCAAAAATGGTAATTTTCCTACATATTTTCAAAGTTTATTTTTTGCATTTGAAAAATAAAGCCATTTATTGAAGTAACCTGGCTTTGTTATTGAAGTGAACATTGAAAAGAAGTTGCTATGAACGGTTTAATTTCTCAATGACATAGATTTTGAAAATGCCCATTTTTTGAACATACATAACTTATGGGTCGAAATTCGATTCATGTAAATAAAACTTTTGAATTGTGAAGATTACTGAATGTGCCTAGCAACAGTTTAAAACTGGACTGATTCCAAATAGCTTCCAAGATTTTAATCTCAAATTTGATTTGGAGTGTGTCTGCAATTCCCTGAAGGACTACTCCTATATTCATGCGTCATTGCGGATATTTTACGGAAATACACAGAATGTGAAATTGTAATTATGGGGGACGTCACATACGGGGCATGTTGTGTCGGTGATCAAGCAGCACGTGCATTTGGTAAGTTTCACATCGATCTGTTTTCGTTGTTTAAATATTTTAATATCTAATCGCTTCTAATATTTTAATATCTAATCGCTTCTAACTGTCATCAATAATTTTGTCAAGTAGATACCTAGTCGCTTAAGCGATGTCAAATATGTCATATTTCTGGAAGGACTTAAGATTCCAGTTATTAAACTGCTTCATTAATTCATTAATTAAAGTCGTAGTCAGGATACTTCCATATGCTTTCTTTTTTTTTTTTTTTTTTGAAATTGAAATATTAAGTATTTGTAGGATGTGATCTTATGGTGCATTATGGGCACAGTTGTTTGATACCAATTCAAGAAACTCAAGGAATTGAAATGCTTTATATTTTTGTAAACATCGAAATGAATGTTGGCCATTTTATTGATGTATTAGAAGCTAATTTCGAAAAGCATAAAAAGCTTGCATTAGTTAGCACCATCCAATTTGTTCCGTGCTTGCAGGTTAATATTATTATTTTTTTCTTTACTGTAAAACGATTGAATTATTATTAGACGGGTCATTGCAAAAAATAGCACGATTTATTCTGCAACTATGTGTCAAATGTAACTGTGCGTTAGTTCTCAAAACTGATTCACTGTGTTATTCGTCAAAGATTCTGACAATCATGAATGTAACAGTAATAACTTTATAAATTTTGGAATTATTAAGATTTCATTACGGCTGACTTATGTTCAAAATCGGATCAATAAAATTTGAATGAGACGAAAAGAATTTCACCGATTAATTGTTTCAGAGTGTTAAAAAAGAATTAATTGGCAAAGGTTATAATATTTTGATACCACAAGTGAAACCTCTTAGTCCTGGTGAAATCCTTGGTTGTACATCTCCCAAATTAGAGGAGGATGTCGATGCAGTTATGTTAGTTATTGATTGCTTCACTGAGTTATAATAGTTTATCAAGCGTAAGTTAATTACAACAGAATTTTCGAAATGTCCTACCTTTTTATTGAAAAATGATGAGTACTGATAATTTAGGGAATTGTGGGTTTACAAAAAATCTCACATTCAGATATCATGTATTATTCTAATTTTAACTTTTTTTTTTTTTCAGATACTTGGGGGATGGACGATTTCACTTGGAGTCAGTAATGATTCAAAATCCATCTGTTGTTGCTTATCAGTATGATCCATATTCGAAGTCAGTTATAATTTTTAGAGGCTTAGTTATCCATTACTGTGCATTACTGAGGTTATTGTAAAATTTGTCCAAGCTAATGCTTTTATTTGAATCTAAGTTGAATGTATTTCTATTCCTTTATCTTTAAGTAAAATTGAGTAGCAATATTCCTTTTTTTTTTCATAAATTGGAAATTTTCAGGAGGTTCACGCATGAGGAATATGATTTTGATTTGATGACGAAAAAACGGAAAGAATCTGTAGAAATAGCACAAAAATGTCACATGTTTGGTCTTATACAAGGTTCATTGGGTAGACAAGGAAATCCAAGAATTGTGGAGGTTAGTTTTATGTACATATACGTTATATGAAGGATCAAAAATGGGAATTGAACGAATTTATTTTTCATGTGGTATTTTTGTTTTTAGGATTTGGAGAAGAAACTACAAGTAGCTGGCAAAAAATTTGTGCGTGTCCTTCTTTCGGAAATAACGCCCCAAAAGTTGTCATCTTTCACTGATATTGATTGGTAAGTATAGTCGTGTTTTTCAATTAGAGTTATTTCAAACAGAGAGCAAATGAGTCTTGTCGCTGTAAAAAAATATTTGGCTTGAAAGACCGTGAAAAATTAATACTAGTACTCGTCTGTCAATTGTAATAAAAAAAAAGGTACCAATTGGTTTTACTTCTGCTACCAGAAATTTCATGCTTTATTGTCCAAGTAACAGTTTATGAGTAAATGAGCGCTGTTCAAAATAACATTTTTTGTTACGCAGAGATGTTGCTAACACTTAGTTTCTTCAAGAGAAGCCGACATATTCGACAGTAGTCATCGGTACTTTCAAGAAAACAAAAAGAACGTATTGGAAAAGCTTTTACAATTCTAATCCCATCTCATAACATTAGTAAGATGAGATTAGGGTGCTAAAATATAAATGTTGTTCTTGTATCGTTCTTTTTTTTCTTTTTATCACAAAAAATATGTGAGTTGCAAATAACTATGATAACTTTATCTGACATGAACTCTACTTGCAAATAACTTCTATTTCAGCTGGGTTCAAGTAGCTTGTCCTCGCTTATCAATTGATTGGGGTGCACAGTTCAAGAAACCACTTCTCACCCCTTATGAATTGGTGACTGTGTTACAATATGTTTCATTTCGAACCGACTCATATCCAATGGATTATTATGCGAATGAGAGTCTCGGACCATGGACAAACAATCACAAAACACATCGAGAATGTCGTCCCAAACGAAACCATATTACAATTTCATTGCAGTCTTAAATAAATGCAGTTTTTGTTGTGCATGTTAATAAATAATAGTTTGCTATATTCTGTTTGAATGGACAAGAAGTTATTTCTCCCCAGTATATCTTCTCTCTTCGATTCCACATTTCCACTTCATAGGCAAGTTAAACTAATCTTTTTTATCAGTTTACTGAAAAATGAGCAGTACAAAGTGAATACAAACAATGTTACACGACATAAAATAGGCCAAAGGTAAAGGTGTTTGTCTCGGAAGTGTTAAACAGCTTTACCAAAGCATACAGGTATTAAATAATTCTCGAATAACCTGTACATAATGTTTAGTAATGAATGTTATGGTTTTCTTTTCTTTTTGAGAATGAAGAAAAGGATTCCAGTGCTTCAAATTATCAATAAACCCATAAATTTAATGATGTGTCATCATTTCGTCCAACTATTAATAAACCTCACATATTTTCAGTTTTTAACAGCTTAATTACCGATTAAAGTAAAGTAAAGAGACAATTGTCTGATAAGTCTTTTAGAAAGATTTGATGTTTGGACGTGTCAGAGGTATCACTGTGCTGCTATTAATACAATACACTGAATATTTGATAATTTGAGCAGTTTCTGGATATGTCTTCTGGATAAATTTTCCATAGTTTTACCTTAGAATTGTATTAATTCGTTGGATATTTGTGTTTAGAAAGATTAGTATTAGCTAAAATTGCAACCATTTGAAATAAATTTTCCATTTCCATTTCAGCACAGCTATAACTCGCATACTGGCTTCTTCCTTTCCTGATGACCTGTTGTTGTTGTTGTTGTTGCTATCGTTGTTGTGGTTGAACCTGCACCATAAAATACCGTTTTAGAATGAATGACATTTATTGATGATTGATTATTCTGACTCATCCTGAAAAGTAAAATTTCATTGTATTCAATTTTAAACTCATTTTTTACTTGAGTTAGTATAAATATGATAGTTACATTTGCACAACATTATAATGGCTTTGATAAATTTTGGTTAAATTCTTGTTGAAATGTACTGAGATGAAATTCTTAAAAACTAGCATTTCTTTTTATTATATTAAACATTTGAGAATTTACATAAAAAAAATATAAAAGGCTAATAAATTAGTAACCTTTCTGTCCGAAAGGCTGTCATTTCATCGTTTGATTTCTTTTGTGTCAATGTGTCCATTGCTGGTTCGGGTAAATAAATCGTAGAGAAGTTATTCGGAGTTTTCCGTAAACAACCAAACGTAACTAGAAGTGCGGTACGAAATTTCTTATTCAGGAAACAGTAAGTGATCGGATTAGCACATGAAGATATGTAACAAAGTACTGTTATTGCTGTGTTTACTTCTGAATTCCAAATATCGAAAGTCTGCAAATCATTGTTTATTCATTTAGCAAACTTAAATCTAAGCCAAATAAGATATTCAAGTTTGGAATATTGGAGAAGCATTAGTGTTACATAGATTTCCACAGACATATGTTAATTTTTCACGTTCAAACAGTGCGAGCTACGTAAAGATTACAAACCGTAAAAAGGAAAACGGGAAATAATTGAAAATGAAGAAAAAAAGGTGATGGATTTGAGGAACCGATAGAGTAATTGAAATTTAAATTAAAAAATGGTCAAAATTGAAGTGATCCAATCAGAATTCACTATGCTAGGCGATAGGTAGAGGGAAAATAAATTAAATGTTGATTGATAAGTTATTTATTTCTTAGTGAAAAGAGAAAGGAGTCCAACCCTAAATGAATCTTGAGCTGTTAACAATAGCCACCACATATAATTTGGTGTCCAACAGCAAAAAAATATGATAACAATAACGATGAGCATTTTGATAACACGTTGTTTGGCCAGAACTGACCGTTCACTGAAAAGCAATAATTAAGGGAATCATGAGAAATAATAATAATAATGAAAATGTTGTGAATTGAATTGATTTTCTCTTAATTTTTTCTCGTTTTTTTTTTGACTTCATTTTTTTCAGAAAATTATGATAGAAAATGAAAAGAATTATTTTCTTTTCGAATTATAATTGATTATTAATTCGTGCGCAAAAGGGAATATATATCAGAAAAATAAAAACTACTCAAATTTTCCTTTTCACTTAAGCTTATTCTTTATTTGATATTATTTTACCAAAAGTACTGGACATTTGCTTTACAATAGTTAATTTCTTGTATTAGATTGCATTATCTCTAACAGTACTGATAGATACGATGGCGCAAATGTCACAGCTTTACCATATCATCTTTTAAGAGTTTTAGAATAGTATGAAATGAAAAAAAAAACAAAAAAAAAAGGTAATAATTACCTGTGAGTAGACCGAAGACTACTTTTATTGGTAAAATCCACCGATTTATTTTTTCGTTTAGCAGTTAAGGATGTTGCATCAGAATTAGTTCGTATTTGCTTCATTGAAGTATAAAAACAACTGAAGCAATTGAATTTCGTTGATGAATTGGAACTGAAATTTGTTAATAATTATAGTATAATTTATTTTTTTTTTTTTGATAAATCATCGTAGAAATTTAGTGAAATTATGAAGTGAATTATTTAAAACATTGTGTAATTTTTGTTATTAATGTATGATTGATTGTATAGTAAAAATTTTCATTCAAATAAATGAAATATCATTTTAAAGATTAAAATTGAGAAAGTTTCATTGAATTAAGTGAAATTATTTAATTTATTTTATATTTTAGGGATGGTAATATTTTCTAATTAATTAATTAATACTTTTAAATGTTAACTGACTTTATACTTTTTCTATTCTTGTTTTTCAACATTTTCAAGCTGCCACACATGGTATTCTCATGTCGCTCATCGTTCCTTGTCGTAGCACCGAGATTGTCTAACAAAATGAACTCATTCAGGATTAGATGATAAAATCAAATAAATTTTTTTTTTTTGCCATATCTTTTCAAAATTCAGTTTTCAAAAAAAAAAAAAGTGAAAATTTTGAAATAATTAGAACAATCATTTATGTTTAATATTTGTATAAGAATAAACCATTATTCATTCTAAATGAATGTTTGTTGTTTGTTTATTTATTTATTTTTCAAAATGAATGTTTGTAAAGTTTATCATAAGCTAACAGATCAGAAATAAATTTACAAAATAAAATTATTTCTGATTATTTAATAAAAGAAAAACTATGAGAAAGTAAAAATATTTAACTTCATTTCTCTCAATTTTTTTCTTATTAATTCAGAAATTTCATCATTCATTCAGCAATAATTATTTTTTTTTAAATAAAAATATTTTAAAATATAATATTTTTTTAAAATAATTTACAATTACAGTGCTTTTTTATCATTTTTAGTAAACAAAATCGTCATTTTCTTCACCACTAATTCCATCGTCTAAATTCTCAAAGTTTTTACAAATAATTTTAAACATATGATTCAATACAATTAAAAATTAATAAATTGAATTCTAACTGTAAAAAAAAAATTACTCAATTATTATACCACTAAATAATTCATTCATATATGCTTCAAAAGTTATCAGTAACAATAATCAATGAATCAATAACAGATTTTTAGATTAAATAAATCGGAAACAAGCAATTATCATTTTTAAATTTAGCAATAAAATTGAGAAAAAAAAAATTTAATTAAACCAAGAAAAAAAGAAAAATATGGGAAGTATATGGACCAGTTGTTGCAGTGGAAGTATGATCGATCTTCATGTCAACTCTAAGTGCATGTATCACTGATCCATATAAAACGATCATTATGCATAATGGAATAAGCAGTAATACTGAGGTCATATATATCTGTAAGAAATTTAATTATTTTGTAATAAATTTTAATCTTTTTTTTTTTTCTTTTTCAGCAGAATTTCTTTTTTTTGCTTTTCAGTAATTTCAATGAAAAAAAAAAAAAAAGAAAAAAAGAAAAAAATTAGCATTGAATAATTTAATAGTAAAAAAGAGATGAAAATTTAAAAATGAAATAAAACTAATGTTAAAATATATTTATATAGAGAGTTTAAGATAATAGTAAACTTAACAAATTTATAATGGAAATAAATAAATTAATTAATTAATTACTTGATAACCGAAATGAAGGATGGGTCGATGCTTGGGTGCACATGTTAAGCCGTTCACATTATAAGTTTGTAATTCGAACATGAAAAGCATAAATAAGTTAGCCAGGATAGAAATAAGCCAAACTAAAGTGATCATTGTATAGGCATGTGATCGAGTATGCCAAATTCTCGAATGTAAAGGCTTGCAGATGGCATAGTATCGTTCAAATGCTATCACAGCTAATGTATAAGCTGATGCTGTCACTACAACTGCTGAAAATTCAAATAGTTTTGTTATTTTTCTACTATATTTATAATTTGAAAAGAGGAAAAGTTTTTTTTATAATTTTAAGTAATTAAAACTTCTAATAAAAATTATTTTGCATAAATAATATTAAAGCATAAATGATAATATATTTTAATTATTTTACAAATAATTAAAGTAATTTTACTTAAATAATAATTAAAGTAATCTGAAAATTAATTAGTAATTAAAGCAATTTGAAAATTACCAAAATTTTTCAATTTCCTTACTAATTTTTTTGTTGTTACTTTTATTCCTTTTAAAGGTGGAAATGAATTTTTTAAAAAAAAAAAAACAAAAATAAAAATGCATTTCGATTTTCTCAAAATGATGGCAAGCAAAAGAAAAAGTAATTTTGCCAATAATTTGTTAAATTTAGAAACTATACAATTTATGTTGTTATTGTGTACGTTCTTATTGTTATTGTCATAGCAAATGAAAAATTAAGTTTACATTTTATTTCTTTTTCAATGAAGAACAAAGATTTATTGTTGGCCCAAAAAGTCTTTGTCAAACTGAACATACATACCAATTTTTTAGTGTATCAAATTGTTTCTACTTCTCAAATTTAATTAATCACGAAGGATTGTAGGTGTGGACAAAGCCGCCATTAGTTTATGAATTTTTCATTCAAAAATCATTCATTTAAATTAAATAAAAAGAAATTGAGCAGGAATAATTGAAAATTTCTAGAGAAAATGAACCAAACTGACAATTTATACAAAAAAAATGACATATAATTTTGTATTTTGATAGATTTTATGAAAGAAATGTCATAATAAGAAATTAAAATCACGTTTCTAAAAATTAAACCCATCGATAGGTATTAATTAATTACATATAAAACTTAAATAATTATTCATATCTGAAAGATTTCAAATCGTTTTAAGAGAAAACAAAACAAACAGAATTTTGGGAGAGAAATTAGCTGAAGTAGAATTGTGATAGAATTTATTGTTGTAAAAATTAAAAAAGTAAGAAAGAAATACAAAAAGTATATAATAATGAAAATAAACAGAAAAAAAAAAAAGTGAAACGTACGTTGTAAGTATGCAAATAACTTGCAAAGGAGATCGCCAAATATCCAACAATAAATAACGGAACTAATAAGAGTTGGTGGCATGCAAATTACTGATAACATCAAATCAGATATTGCCAAATTTAACAAATAAATATTTGTTACTGATCGCATTGAATGTTGCTAAAAATTACTCAAATTATATTCTTTTTTATTTGAGATGGATGGAATAAATAAATTGTAATAGTTATTGAACACAGTAAAAAAAAAAAAAAAAGTGCCAAGAATACCGCTTATCAATTAAGGCATAATATTTTCCTCAAATATTATTGATAATTAAAAATTGAAATTAAGAGCAAACCTGCAAAATGACAGCGACAACAACTGCATTACCAATAACAGAGAGGCAAAAAATAATACAAAATGAAATAATTGTGATATAATTTTCAAATGTAGGCCTAAATCGGCAATCATCTTGCACTATAACTTCCATTTCATCAGAAAGCATCACCGATGATAGCGATGATGTTGCTGATGTTAATGATGATGGTGATGATGATAATGATGATGATGATGACTGTAAGAACGATGATGATGATGGTAATGATGATGATGCTATTGATGCTGCTGCTTTTGCTACTGCTATTGCTATTGTTGCTGCTGATGATGATAATGATGATGGTGATGGTGATGATAACAATAAAAATGTTGAGAATGACGTTGATGACTGTGTTGATAGTATCGGTAATGTAGCTTTTGATAGTGATGATGACAGCGTTGATGTGCTATTTAGGCTAAAATAAAAGAAAGAGAAAATTTTTCATTTCTTTAATTTTTCTTAGCTGAGGGACCATTTTTAGGTCCCATAGCAAAGAAAAATATCATTTCATGCTAGATTAAATAGGTTATTTTCGAGAAATAACTAACAGTGTATTATTGTTTCATTTCAGTCATTCTATTTCATTTTATGAAATAATCTTATTTCCTCAATAATTATCAAATTTTTGATACTGATGAAATTATAAAATAGTATTTTTGCAAGAAAAAAAAAAAAATATTTCATCTACACTACTAAATAATTCATTTGTCAATAGCATATCATTGATTTGAAATTCAGGTAAACATGTTGATTCTTGGTAATTATGATAATCAAGAAGGAAAAAAAGTTTGAAATGCTAACAGCTTAAAATTATTCATTATTAACTGGTAGGAATGTAAAAATATAAAAAGTTCCATTTATGCTTACGTAATTAATTAATACTTAATTAATATGTGAGGTATCAATGGTTTAATTTATATATGTAACATTTACTTTATAGAATTTATCAAATCAGTAAACCAAATGTCTTTTTTCTTTGCATAAACTGTCAATTTAAATTTATTTCTTCTGAAATTTTCCCATTATTCCTTCTCAATTTTTTTTTAATTTGAATAAAGATTGGTTTTCATTCAATCACTGATATCTATGTCCACTTTTACAGTTTTTATGGCTAATTGGAATTTGAAAAGTGGAAACAATTAAGGCTAAGAAAGTTAGTTCATTCATCGATTATCAACCATAGCTATGCTAAACAGCGATATTCAATTTAACAAAGACTTTTTGAACCGACAATGAAATCTTTGTTGAGAAATTTAAATTGAAGAAAAATGAAATATGAGAGAGCTAAAACAGTAGAATAAACTTTCTATTCTCTTTTCAAATCATAAATACTTAAGATGAACTTCTAATAATCTCCAACATTTTTAAAAAAATCTATGACTACATTCATTGAAATTGTAATTCTAATTAATTAAAAATGAAAATATTAACAAATAGATAGTCACAAATATCTTTTCATAAATTATTCAAAAAATATTGCACTCTTAGCTGAATAAATTAAAATACTTTTGAATTATAATGAAAATTTAAAACCTTAAGCTTTACTCATTATTTCCTTTTTTTTCGCGGTATAATTAGAATTTGCTATTGAAATATATCTAATATAAAACTTAGCTATAAATGATAGAAGTAAACTTTAAATAATTTGTAAAACATTTACTCATTGCATTTGAAATTTTTTTTTTTGAAAGAATAAATTCGTTTGATTATTTTCGATTGTTTGATTAGATTGTGATTAATGAATTTAATTGATAATTGCATATCTTTTACACACATATTGCAAAATTTGTGAAATTTCAATAAATTGTTTAATAATTATATTACATACTTTAGCATTAGCTTATTGAAGAAGAAAAGGCGCAAAAATTAATAGCGCTTAAATTGAGCGCTATTAATTCACAAAGAGTAAAATGGATGAAAAGATTTGATTATAAAATAGAAATATTTGTAGGAGATAAAGTGTAAGAAATTAAAAGAAATATAAAGTAAAGATGAGATAAGAGTTAAAGATGAGATAAAATGTGGATAATAACAATTAGCTGACAATTCCTGATGGATGATAATAAGCATTGAGAGAAAAGCATTAGCACAATTAGTAAATAATTATAGCTTGTTGTATGCTTATAAAAGCACATAGACAAAATGATATTTATGATCGAATATTAGATAAAATTTTTGGATAAATTTTGACAAATTTTTTAATTTATCACAGTCTATTTTTTTTTTTGTTTTGTTTGTTTTTTCAATATCAAACAAATTTTAGAGAGAAAATTGTTAAATTTATTATTTTGAACTATCAAAAATTGTTACAATTGATCTATTTCATATGTTAGTAAATTATTTGGTTGTTTGCTCAGCTTTTTAGTAATGTAAATTTGAAAAATGAAATGAATAATTGAAATTTTGTTAATAGTTTTGAACAATATTAATATGATTATAAAATGTTAGCAAATGAAAAATTAAGATTGATAAAAGTTTATGGGAAAAGATGAAATGAAAAATGTACTGTGTTAATTAAGTATGAATGAGAAAAGAAAAAAAAAAAAAAAAAAAAAAAACGAATTCAGATTTTGTTACTTAAATTTTATTAATCACTAGAATGTATAAATTGTTGAGTTTTAAAAAAAAAAAAAAGAAAAATGGAAATTCAGCAAAAAAAAAAAAAAAAAACAAAAAGAATTTTTGGTTTTTTTTTAAATCCAAAACAATTTAACTAAAAGCAAAAAAAGCAATATATCTCATGTTTTCTGTTTAGTCATACTAAAATTGATGAATGAAATGAAATTGTTTAATAGCTTAAAAAAAAAAAAACTTTCTAAGCCAATTTTTCACCGGAAATGCAAAAACATCATGATAGAATCCGGAATCTATTCCTACACTACCGGATGATGATGGTACCATTTTCTTCTTTTATTCTTTTTTATTGCAAAACTTCTTATTGAAATTGAAATGAAAGAATTGAAAATTAAACTTACATAATGGTTGAAAATGCTGTAGTAAGCTGTTCGATAGTGTCACCAGTATTGTCATCATCACTAACATATGCATTAACTGACCATATAATTGAACTATTCATTCAAAAAAAAAAGAAGAATCTTTTTTTTTTTTTTTTTGTTTTTTGAAATTGTTTTCTTCAAAATGATTTTCGGTTAAATTCGTTGCAATTTTGGCGCAATATTTATAATAACCTGAAAGTATGTAACTTTTTTTTTTGATTTATTTATTTTTTTTTTCTTTCTTTCTTCTTTTGTTAATAAAAGAAGAATTTTATTTTATTTTATTTTTTTTTTTCATTCTTTTTTCTTTTTTATTATTTCCTTTTTTCCTTTTTTTTTTTTTGAAAGAAAAAAATTACATCAATATTTGTTGAATTGAAATTTTTTTTTTTCCTCATTTTCTTGCATTCAACTAGTATCATCCAAAAGTAATAGCAATTTTGACAAACAGTAAAATTGATAATATGAATGAATTTAAAATAAAGCAATAAAATTTTCTTTTTACATTAAAATATATTAATTTAGAAAGTAGAAACTAATTTAATAAAATATATTAATTTAGGGCAATTTTTTAGTAACAATTTTGCTAAATGATTAAAACTGTTCATTTTTATTTTTTTCAAATTTAATTTTCATCAAAAATTTTCTCGTTTATTACAAAAAAAAAAAAAAAAAAAAAAAGGAGAGAGAGAGAGAGGAGAAAGAAAAAAAAGAATGAATAGTAGTTATTTGTAATTTTGATAAAGCATAAAAAATGACATCAAGAATTAATTGTGTACGAATTTGATGACATCTTCACATACACACTAATGAATGTCAGACAAAATTTAACTAATCTTTAATTAAACTAATAAAGAGGGATGATAAAAGAAGCGAAACAAAACAAAACAAAACAAAAAGAAAAATAAGACTTAAATTTTAATGCAATGCAAAAGTCTGGTATCATTAGTGAAATGCAATGATGAAAATAAATTGACATACATAAATGAAATTGTCAACTACAACTCATATTATCCAAATTTTTTCTCACTAATTTCTTTCCTATTTCTTTTCAATTCGTCTGAAAATTATATTATTTATAGCAAAAAATATTGATTAAAAAGATATTATTCGAAGTACTTTTTTTTTTTTTTTTTTTGTAAGTTTAATAACTATTAAATAAAATGAAAGATAAAAAAGAAAATTAATTCTTTTTTCTTTGTTTAAACAATAATTATTTGTTATTATTATTATTGTTATCTCGCTCATCCATTTACTAGTCATATTATTATTATTAGTTAGTTAATTAAAATGCAAAAATTTATAATTTTTAAATTGAAGGTATATGAAAATTAAAAAAAAAACAACTGATTACTTTATTACTTTAAGTATTTACAAGTTTTCAATACTATCATTTAAAATTTTAATTTATCTAATAGAACAACAATCTTCAATATTAGGAATTTAAAAAAAAAAAAAAAAAAAAAAAAGAAATTAATGCTCGTTCAGTCATTTATTAGCTTAACTTTAATTTAGATTAAACAATTTTGCTCAACTTTACCACTTTCTTTACCTGTCATGCAGTACCTGTTTTTAGCTATTTATTAATGTATAAAAATAAATAAATAAATAAAAATTTCAAAACAAAACATTAGTAAATAATTGGCTATTTTTATAAATACGAAATTAAATAAAATTTTATTCCTAAATGATAATTTAAAATTTTTATTTTAAACATTTTGAAAAATTGAAGTGAATTTATTTAACACAATAAGAATTTTCAAATAGGAAATAAAAAATAATTTAGCTTACTTCAATGTTAGCATTTATATAATTCCATAATTATAATTATAAATGACATCAGAGACATTTAATGACACTTCCGATATTTATTATTGAAGTTTATTGGATAAATGCATAAATTAAACTTTTCTAACCAATAATATTTCATTATTTAGTACATATTCAAGCAAAAAAAAAACCTTTTAATTATGCTAATTTCATATAAATCGCAGTAATTTATATAAATTAATTTGCACAAGAATTTTTTATTTACCTTTAATTATTATGTTAATTTTCATATTTATTTCAAAACGATTTCTTTTCGTTCAATCATAAAAAGTTATTCAAATTTATGACGAAAGAATATTTTTTAGTTTAATGCCTAAAAATTAAAAAAAAAGGAAAAATTATTTAAGAAAGAAGGAAAAAGTTTTATTGCAATTTACTTTTATTGCAATTAATAATATTAAAAAAAAACGGAAGGAAACTGCGAAAGGAAATGTAGTAATGTTCCATAAATATTTATGAGATATGCATTATGAGCATGGCGGTAATGTCAACGTCAACGTATTCACTTTTTTTTTTTTTTTTTTCATCCATAATTTGCAAACTTTTATAGCAATATTTTCTAGTAATTTGAATATTTGAAATTTAAAGCTAAATGCAATCTAATTCAAATATTTGAGAATTAAATATAAAAGTAAATAGAAACAAGCAACTTATATTATTATAAAAAGATGTAAAATATAGAAATATATTAAGTGAAAGTTAAAATTAAAGGTTAAAGGTTATTGGAAAAGTGTAATTTACCATTCTTCTAATTATGTTAGCCTAATTGATAATTAATTCAAATTAACATATTAAATATTAAAAGTTTTACATATTAAAAACAATAAATATTTTCCGTTGTTTTTTTCACAACAATCTTTTATATATAAATTTACTGTGAAAAAAATTAAACTATTTGGAAAAGCATTTCTAATTAATGTAATGAATAATTCAATTTCATATTTCATTACAACAAATTTATAAATACACAAATTTATAAATAAATAAATTATTATTTAAATATATCTACCACAATGCAATTTTATCAATTGATATGATTATCTTTTCTCTGCAATATCAATTTCTGATAATTGTGCAACATATTTTAACAATTATCATTCTCATATTTTAATTATTAATTAAAAATTATAAATACAGTATTATTCTTAAAATACTAAATGAATTGATCGATATTGATTGTATCAGTGATAAGTTATCATTTCAATTTGCATTAATATCATTTTTAATTTAAATAATTTAGCAAGGAAAAAGAGAGAAAAGGAAAAAGAAAATGAAAAATAGAAATATTAAAAAAATATATATATTCATAATTATAGCTAATCACTATATTTTTAAAGCTAAACGATAGATAATTTTGCAATGCAATTGACAGTTTGTTAAAATAACGAAAGAGAAAGAGAGAGGAGAGAGGGAGAGAGAGAAGGAGAGAGAGAGAAAAAATAGTTATGAAAATGATTACGTAGATGATAAGAATTTACGTCACCTAAAATAATAATTCATTAATTAGTCATCTTTTTTTCTTTTTATCATTAATCATTTTAAGAGTTAATGCAATGTTATGCAATATAATGCATGCATGAATGCATGCATGTATTTGTTCATTCATGCATGCATGCTTGCATGTAGCATATAATAATTATCTAAATGAATCATTTAATTAATAAAAAATAAAAATGCTAATTGTTATAATTTTTAAAAAAAACTTCGCATTAAGTCACTTAAGAATTGTATTATAAATAAATTGCAAATGAGTAAATGATAATAATGAGAATAAATTAATTTAATTTAAAAGAGAAAATTAATCTTTTCTTTCCTTTAAGCGATGATAATTAAAAATATTGTTAGTATTATTATTAAGAATTTATTGTTTTGTATATTCTTCAAAGTAAGAAAAAAAAGAAAACAAAATATATCATTCGAATTAGATAAATTAATCAGAAATATTTGTTAATTTAGTATATTCAAATCAAAAATTATTCATTAATTTAATTCATTTTTAAATGAGAAATGTCTCATTGATTCAATTTTTTTTTTTTTTTTTTGGATGAAAAATTATTTGATTTTAAATGATAGTTTAATGAAATATAAGGAAAATAATTTTATATTGTGACTATTGCGCCATTTTTTTGTCTCTAATAAGTTCTTTAACTTTTGAATTATTTTACAACTATTTACTTTTATGCAATAAATATTATTTCTTTAAATATACATTTTCAATTTACTGTACATTTATCAACTTTTTAAGGCTTTTTTTCTATAGTATTGAAGTTTTTAATATATGGAAATGTTTGAAAATGCTGTATTTACGTGATATTTCTTACGTTAATTACGTAAATGTTCAAACATCAACAAAGTCAATTTGTATTGTAATTAAATGAATTGAATTAAATAATGTTGAATTAAATTTTTTTAAAGTTAATTAAAAAAAAGCAAATGAAAAATAAGTCAAAAACAGAAACAAATTTGACCACTTAAAATATGCTCAATAATTCAATTAGATAGGCGCTGTTGTTTGAAAGATTTAAAATAATTCATTAATTAGTGCTTGTGTATCAATTTAATCTTATTTTGATATCAGTGTAAGACAGATAGAATTATCAGTTTCAATTACTCTAACTTTTATCTTTGCTAAATCTTTTTATGATCTTTTGCTACAAGTAAAACATCGTTTTCAAAAGTTTAAACAAACAAATAGCACAATTAATGAAGAGAATCAATCAAAAATTAAATGTTATCCGATGAGATTAATTAGTTTCAGTGTGTGGTGTGACCTTTGACTTTTAGAAGATCAATTAATCATAGATCGTTTGTTATGAATTTACGTCAAAATATTGAATTACCACGTTTGCTATGCTTCTTTCGAATAGTTGTGACTCATTTCTTTTTCCAATACTTTTTCTTTTCTCACCAAATAAGACCGTTGTTTAATATTCAATGTAACGTATAATTCACGTAACTATTCACGTAACTATTTTACTCATTCAATCATTTAATAAAGTTAAACTTAAAAAATTATTCAGCAACAGTTTTCATTATGACGCATTCATTGCATTGAAACAAATGTACTTTGGTCATTTCAGATGCTTAAACTAATTGCCAATATCTTTTGTGCTACTTTATTCAATTTAAATTAGTAATTTTTTTAAACTTATCTTTGTTTTATCATCCATAAATATAAGCAGCTAAAATGAATTCTGAATGAATGCTAAAATGAAATGAAATTGAACAAAAAAAAAAAAAAAAAAAGGCA